GTTGAAACATAAACATTCGAAAGCTCGGCACGTAATGCTGTCGTCCAGATATCTTTCGTGGTGAAATACATAAGTTAATATTAAGTAAATTCCTGTCTGAATGTTAAAACTTCTTTACATGAAAAGAGAAATGCGAATATTTTACCAGTAATTTCTTTAAGTTTAACTCAAAAAATTCTACATCACTATTTCCGAATAAAACTTCTTGAAAAAAGTAACTAAATAAAACAAAGTATTAATTGCATCCATAGGCAAAGTGGTACATTTTGAGTTTTATTCCTAGTTTAAACATTATTTTTCAAGTTTGATGCATGATATATACCAGTTTACATCGTTTCTAAAGGTCATAAAAAAAGAATTTAATTCAAGCTATAATAATTCACCTCAACTACCTTTTTATTGTATTTGTTCTCGCCAACATTTTCAAGAATTAATCCAGTGGAAGCTATTTTTTCTAGAGCTATACTATTATACTAACTTATTCTATCGTAATTCGAATGTAATCTATACTTTAATCCAGAAGCATGTAATTTTTTCTGGTAATAATTCCTTCATGTTTAGAAAAGAACATGCAGCTAAAATTAAATACGTAGACTTAAATACACGTATTTCGGTGCATATATTAAGTGAAAGATTGTTTTATTCACAAAGTTATTTTGAGAAGATCGATAAAGTGCCACGTTACTTTGGTACATTTAACTGAAATACATCAACCCTTGAATTCTATATAGACCTCGTACATCTCATGCAGCTATCTGAGCTTTTGTGAATATGGTTACATAAAGCTGACTCATTTATTTGTGTGCCAGTGTCTATCTAGTCCTTGTGTCTACTTTGTTACGTACCTAGTTGTCATATTATAACCATAAATATATTTACTTTACTTAATACAACTTCCAACTTTTCCTTAAACAAATTTAATAAAATGATTTTCTTATATAGTGTTATGTTCACTCTTATATATATGTGTATATTTACCACAACTAGGTTTCCATCAATGTCTACCAGATATTAAAGTAGAAAAAACTGAGAGATAATTTAAAAACTTTCTCATCTAATGATCAAGATTAATTGAAATAAGATAAAGGAAGAGAGTTTGATAATATTAAAACTCCACGATTGATAAATTGTGTAGGATTACTATATTAGATTAATAATAATAACAATAATAGATAGATGTAAATTTTTTATATCAGAAATTCAATATTGTAAAATGTATAGAATGCCTTTGACATAGATACTCCCTTGTGCACTTTTCTTCGTCACATGAAATATTTTATCTGAAGAATGTTTATTCTTGCCTCTACTTGGCTTAAAATAGAACTAAATTAAAAATTTCATCAAAAATATTTTTTTTTATTATTTGATCAGTTATAGAGTAAAATAAATAAACTTTAAAAGGTAGACAATGAGTAAGCATTGTTGTGAATCGTAATAAAAAATAGAAATTCTTTATTTTATTAAAAATAATTGATTATTTTGTACCTTTACCTTATTCTAGGTATTTTGTATCATACAGGAATAATAATATCTTACAATTCTCAATTAAGAAGTATCGAACTTTGACAATTTTTTAAATAAATCAGGAAGAACTTCTTTTTGCCTGAAATATTATAAAAAAGCATAGCTTTATCAAAAGAGTAATTGGCATTATACGATTTTTAATTTCCTCTGTGATTCTAGAACATATATGGCTTCAACTCGTTTTTGGTGTCTCAATTTATTTAATAATTGTAGTAATGTTGAAATTTAATCTTCTTAATTGGAGAGAATATTTCTCATTAATAAAGTTTTAGAATTTTTTTGCTTTAAAAGTTTTCGCATGAGAATTAAAAAAATAATGTTTTGAAATATTTTATTTTTTATTTTTTATCAACGTAGAAACTCATTCAAAGTTTTAAAATGAAACAAATATTCAGTGAGAAGATAAACGCTTAAGAAATTTTATATTTACTAGTTATTACACAAGTCTTGTTCATCTTGATAAATATTTATAAAGTCACCATTGCTAACAATCATTTTAAAGATGTGTCATTAATTTATTTTAATAATTTTGTTGTTAGATTATTTTTTTTCCATCAAACTTTTAATATAATTCAAGCCTTGTAAATTAATGAATTAGAATCTTATCTATAACACCTTATTCTGAATACCATCAATGAATGAAAAAGATGAATGTGATAAATTTCCAAAAGTTTAGAAAGACTTTTTTCTCTTCAGGATCGATAAGAATGTATCAAAACTTTTTCGATAAATTCCATTTCATGAATGAATATTAAAATTTTACGATGACGTTAGTAATACTGGACGATTAGATGAACGAAATTAATTGAAGCAAATTACTAAAATCTTATTTAAATGACAGTTATCTCTCGATGTTCCGAAATAACTTGCTCCATTTTACTGAAACGTTGTTCAATAATATGCCAGGTGAAGCGTTACAGGCATAGAGATTTAAGAGAAATTGAAAAATAAAAGCTAAAAATCTTGCTGTCTGTATTGTGAAATATTTACTTCAGTCACTGGAAGAAAATCATTTGTCGACTGAGTAATAAAAAAATAAAAAACAAGTAGTAATTATGATGGTTTTGTGTGTTGAGAACTTCTATAAATGTTTGATATCATCAGTGCATATAAATTCGAAACAAATAATAAACAATTGATCCAAGGAATACTATAGTGACTTTATGAGTTGCAAGTGAATGAATGATAAGAATGTACAATAGAATATAAACAGAAGTTTTGATGCACAAGAAACTCGTGCCCTTTGTTCTCTATATCATTGCTTCTTAGAGAAGTTGAGCATTTAATTTTATCATAAAAAATCTAAGCCAAATACACTAGGAGAAAATGGCTCTTTTCATTTGTAAAGTGTTCTATAATTACAACTATTTTCCAAACAACAATGAATAAGTCAAAGTACAAATGAAAATTTTAATTACGTTCCATGCCACAATGCTTTTATGCTTCTGCTTGTTGACTGATAGATAATAAAAATTATATTAAAATCTTCTGTATTATTAAAAATCTCCTTTGCTTTGAATTTTCTTACCTGTCAAAAGATATGACGACTAAGGTAAAGGTGCTAGATGCCACAGTGACATTTGCGACAAAGTTGTTCACAGTACAATAAACTACTCCAAATGGCCAGTTTGAATTGAGCATAAAAATAAAGTTGAATATGCAGTTGAGTAACGACATCATTAAATCTGCAATAGACAGATTTACTAGGAGGTAATTCGTTACTGTTCGCATTCTCCGGTGAGCTGAAACAATTATAAATTCCACGAATTTATTAACACTACAATTTAATTTTCTATAATTGTTTAAATTTCATTTACTGACAAGTGAAATATTTAGAGAAAAATTCATTTATTTATTAAAAAAAAATAAAACAACCCTTATTGCGCTTCTTGTTTATCAATGTTACAAATCTGTTAATGTATTAAAAATAATTAATATATTAACTAAATTGCTAATTTATGCTTTTTCGTTACGTTTCACTTTACCCTTCCTTCCTCTAATCATAAACAATAGTCAGTAAAAAAAAAATGAAGATTGATATTGCTCCTCACTTTGTATAATTTTCTGCACGGTTAATTTGTGCATAATTTTGACACAAATTCAATGTACAAAGTCGATAAATTTTGTATTATTAAATAAATTATACATTTCAATAGATTGCAAGAGATTTTCATAACCAGAAAAATTCACTTTTTCTATCAAAAAATTTCTCTTTCGATTTTTCCACCGAAATCTTATGCTGCTACTTTTTTCATGAATATGTACTCCCATACATATATATATATATATATATCGTCAGAGGTATTGACGTCAGAGAGGATATGTTCAAGTACATTAGTCCGGTCGAACAAATTTTTTTTTATTTTTGAAACCTTCATATTGAAAATTCCTTTAAAAAAAATTCTCGACATTTATACATTTTATTTAAATCTATAAATGATATTCATAATAAATAATATATATTTACTGTATTTAATATAAATTTAGTACCATAATAGTGGCCTTCACTTTCAACTAATGGCTTCCACTTTATAAGTTGAAAGTGCAATGCTAAAAATAGCTGAATATAACAAAAGTTAAATTGAAGCAGAAGACGGGCATATGATTGAGCTATACTACTGAATTCAATCGAAGCCCAGCTCTTCAAATACGGAAGACCCGTTCATTTCATATCGATCATTAATATCCAAATAATTCTCTCACAATTGATTCTCTTTGTCACAGAGGATGTTAGGTACATGTAGAAATTCCAGTCTAGAGGTATAGAGGCATGAAATATATGAACAAGTAAGATTTAACAGCATTTCTGAATTATCTACTCCTTTCTTGTCGAGTGTGAAATATTAAATCCATTGACTAGTGATAAGAAATTCTCAAATATGAAAAGTACATGGAATAAATTACATAAAAATTACCATACCGATTTGATCTTTTTATATTTTATCAATATTTGAGTGGCAATAATCCATAGACATTGATACCAGTAGTGCTTTATAGCAACTAAGAAGCAATAAATATCATGATATGAATTTTTATATATATCGTATCTAAAAAAATTCAATAAAATTGAAATGCTTTGAAAAAATGACTTTTTCTTATTCTTTGTCCAAACAAATAAGTAATTATTCAATTTTAATAAATATTAGAAACTTGTAGCAACTTTGACGTTATTTATGTCAGTGTCAATTTAAAGATAATGGTAATAACAAATATAGTTACATAATATTGAACTTATCCTATTCATGCTATTAGTTTATATTGAGAATTATTACATGTAAATTTTAATAAATGAATAAAGTATTGCTTCACAAATTATACAATGACACTTCAATTTACTTCAAAGTCACAAGTTTAACTTGAGCATGAAGTATAAGACAATATTTTTAGTATTCGTGAAAATTATACATAATGAGAGTTCAGTATTATCAATGCACATATGATAAGACATTAAATAAATGGGTTATAAGGTGAAAAAAAATATTTCTGAATCAGTAGATTCGCTGAATTCGCGTTACCATTGATAATGTATCTATTAAAAGTTAACTTTTTAGCAGCATTTGCTCTGATCATTTTCATTTCGACAGTTAAATCTCAAACGAGTCCAGATGTTCGAAAATTTGCTATGAGTTTGAAGTATAATCTGGAAAAGAGTCTTCCTTCATTGTTACAAAATATATCAGCACTTTATCAACCACTACAACTTAAAGATGCTGAAGCTGCAACGATTTATATATATACTTTGGATGCAACTAAATCATTGTTGAAAGTTAACAGTTGGCAAATTAACCCATCAGTTGTAAAACAAAAAAGTACGTTTCACTTATTACAATTTATTGATCATTTATGTATTTGTATTTCAATATCCAGAACCAGCCATTAATTTAATAATGTTCTGACTTAGGAGAATCAACAGTAATGACAAATATGGAAGATTACATTAACTTTATCGTTGGATTCATCGTGAATGGACTTGTTTTTGGATTAAAAGCACTTCTAACTCCAGTCATCTTATTAGTTCAAGTTCTTCTTCTAATAGTAGGGATACTATTGAACATTATTTTGTGGATTCTCCGAGCATTATTAGCGACTCTATTGACAGACTTGGGTGCTGGAGGTTTAGGAACGGCTTTATCATCAATATTAGGAGACGTACAAACTTCAGTAGATGGGATATTAAAAGATGTAGAAAAATTATTAGGTAATTTATCATTAATACAAATTTAAAGATCGAATAAGCTTTTGAAAGAAGCTGAAACATTGATCTCAATATCATTCATGTTCGATATATTGATTCTGTAATTAATTTTGAATAAAAAAAATAATCTTAACGATGAAATGAAATTGCATTTTTGCTTCTAGAGTAATAGTTGTAGAAAATATTCCTCGATTAATCAATAATTCATGTTTAAAATGTTTACCATGTAAGCTATTGATTTTGAAAGCTAAAATAAATACCTCTATGTCCTTATCGCTTAAGATACAACTGTACATATGCTATAATAGCAGTAAAACTTACTAAAATTTATCATATAAGCTTAGGAAATATTTTTCATATAATTATAAGCCATTTTCACGACAAATAATGGCGAAATTAAATAATCTTATCGTAAACTTTAAATTAAATCATGTAAAAAATAGAAACAGTTTATTGTATTGATTTCATTGTTACAATATTCCTAATCATAAAAATGTAAAAAAAATAAAAAATTATACATAATGAGTTTTACGTATTATCGATACGTACATTGACTTATGTGTGACAGCAATAAGGAAAAAAACCACACTGAGTTTAAGCAAACATATTTATATTTGCACACAAGTTAAAAAAGTGTCTAGTCCATTGATCATGTATTTATCAAGAGTTGACTTTTTGACGGGGTTTTTATTATTATCTTTCATTTTAATCACCAATTGTCAAACAATTAAAAATCCACAGAAGCTTCAACAACGTTCAAAAAATAACCTCCGAACTTCGTTGCCTTCATTGTTTAGAAATATCAACTCATTTGATAAACCGTTCAAGAGTGGGAATAATGCGGTAGAAATTTCTTCAAAAAAATTGGATACAGAAACAGTGGAAGTATTAATTAATAGTTATTCATCGTTAAATTTAGAGACAGGTACAAATAACAATGCTTTAAATATACTTTTGTATGTTGAAAATTTCATGAATACTTATTGTCCTTCCAATTTCAATAACAGATATATTCTGCTATTATTTGAAAATGAAAAGAACAAAACTTTGATATTAATATCATGATTGACATACAATTTGTACAATTTTCATTAATAATTTATTCTCATTGAATATTTTCATTTCAGATTTAACAGATACAAATGATCAGCGACTTTTTCGGCGCAAACGTTCATTTAATGTTGACCATTTTCTCGATATTGTCCTCAATACTATTTTTTACCCTTTTTATCTCATTCTAACACCTGTTAGAACAATAATATGGACCTTACGTGCATTAAATCGCTCTTTTTTAAAATTTATTTAAAACATAAAATTGTATGAAATGTTTTTCTCAATATATATTGATTTAACAAAGGTATTCTTACTGATATAATCCAATTTTACATTTCCTTTTGTGAAAGTACTCAATATATTAAATAAATACATCCATGTTCATTTGATGTTACGTAAGTTTTTCATCTATAGCAAAGTAAAAGGATTTGAAAATAAATTCTTTGATTAGGCTGATTATCCTATTGAACAAAAATACCAGTGCCAACCGTGCTAGAAGTAATTTTCTTGTTGGTACTTGGAACTTGTGATGTAATTAAAAAATGGGAAGGACATTGAAAAATTTTTTTAATTGAATGAATTTTATTATTAATCATTTCATTTGCATCGAGTTAAACAAAGGTACCTGTTGAAGTAATTAAAATATTTCTAATAGATAGTTGAAAAACAGCAGCAGATACAACGAATACAAAAGAAGGTATAATTATTATAAAAATATTTTCCCAATACATTCACTAATGATAGAACATAACTAGTTATTTAACGTATACTGGCAAACTAATTAAATTATCCAATTTTCTTTTTTATTCCAGCACAAAGTTTATCTGGTTTATCTAATGTTTCAATTGATGTAGGATCATTTGTATTAACTGGACCTATATTTTTAATAAGGACCATATTAACATCAATTATCATTTTAGTACAAGCAATTCTAGGCTTAGTACGAATACATTTCATTATTATTTTATGAATTATTCAAGAATTACCATCAGCAATTTCGATATCTCTGGGTTTATCACACATATCACAAATGCTTGTTACTTTATTAGAATTCATCCAAACTATGTGATATGAATTACTGGGAAAGTTAACATTAATATCAGACTTAGAAAATTAACAATTCTATCCAAAAACTGCTATTAAATTTCAAAACAATGCTTAGAAATAAAAAATGGCAATGAAGCAAACTTTTAATTGCAATTAAAAAATTTTTAACCAATTAAAAATTAATTTTCATTACTTCAATTATTTTTTTTTCGATAAATACTAAACGATTTAAGTATTTATGTTCATAGGAAGGGATATTTCTACTCAATAAATTGTGAATATAATTCAACTTGTAAGTCAAACAGTGTTATCTTTTCATGAAAAAACTTTCCTGGACGTGTAATTAGAGTACTTGTAGAATAGTAAAAAATAGAAAAGATAAAATAATTTTTCATGAATTATTGAGTAAAACAACAGTTGAATAAATCCCAATCCGATTCCATTGTAAAACGTGGGAACGGAAGAATAATTACAGTGTTGAACTGGAACAGAGTTTCAATATGAGTAAAAAATAAGTTTAGATTTTCTGATTAAATAAACGTGAGTGCCTATGATAATAACATATGATAGTATCAACTTGCTCGATAAACAGTGGTTGTTTTTGAAGAATATCAAGCTTTACTGTATGTAAATGTAATAAAAGTAATGAATTACATTTTAAAAGGAAGTGATTTTTGAATTCAAGATGATTAATTCATTCACTAACATACAGCATAAATAAACTATTTATATTTTTGATAATTTTTGAGTTTAATGTTAATGTCAAAAAAATTATAAATTAATATTAATGACTTGATTAAAGAAAATTAAATTAAAATTTTTCAAAAAGTTAGTCAACATTGCTCATGACATTATCAGTGTTGTGCGTCAAAATTAATTCTATTTCTAATTGTCGTTAAATTATGAAATTGAATATGTAATTTTATAAAAAAACCTCTTTCTTTCTCTATACTAATTTCGAGGTATGCATAATGTGTGTAAAAAGTTTTAAATTAAATTATTTAATTTTCAAGTATAAAAAGAATTGGAGAAATTTCAAACTTCTACTCCTCTTTACATATATGTGTATATGTGCAAATAAAAAGTTCCTCGAGATAATTTACGTTTCATCTCTGTTTTCTGCAATAACAGTAACAACCTCAGAAAAAGCAGCTATTATATTGTTCCATGTCATTTCTAATGGCGATTATATACAAGAAATTTCATCATAAGAATACACTTAATCTTGGAAGATTGCGCCATCACATCTGGTTGAAATAATATTGTTATAAATGACCATTTTAATCTGCTAAATTAATAATTGATTCCACGATGTTTGATTAAATTTTTGTTCAAATATTTTCTTTATAAATTTTATATTAATGTATTATTATTCGTACAAATATTATCTAAATGAGAATATTTTATCAATTATCCCTATTTCACTGGATAACATAATTCTAGATAAGCAAATGCAGTCACATTTTAATTTATTTTTAATCAAAAATATGTTTTTTACAGAAACGATTAGAAGTAACTGAGATTCTAATTTGATTTTCGCCATACAAACAGCGAATTACCAAGATTATGAAATTACCTAAATCACTTGTTTAATCTGATTTATGCAATACATCAGTGTTCATAATAGAGAAATTCTATTTCAATATAAATATATGAGCAAACTCTATTAATGTATAACATGAAATGTTCATTACCAAGTTCAATTACTACCCAATACAGCTAATGTTTTCATAAACAATCTTATTTTATAATTCTCAAAAACTTAATTGAAATTAAAATAATTATAAGTTTTTTTTTTTAATTACACATGAAAAAGTTTTAAATAACAATAAATATGTTTGGTTATTTATAAAGTTAAGTTTATTTGTAAAAAGATTAATAAACATTAATATACTTAATATTAAAAGTACTTTTGATTTTCCGGACCTGAAACTTGATCATATACTTTCCCTGATGCTACGAAGAATATTACAAAACGTCATCCATATCATCTTATCCCGAAATATACCACAGACTTTGGGAGTTTAACCAATTCCCGAGGGAATTAGATAATTCATAAGGATCACTTGGTACTTTATATGTGAAACTTGTGATAACGACAACCAAAGGTCAGCATTTTCCGGATTATACAAATTAAAAAAAAAAAAAATGAATGTTAGATAAATACCTTTATTTACTACACCCTTTCAACAAAAAAGTTATTTTCTTAAAACTCATCCTTAATTTAATCAAAGTTTTTTTTCGTGAAAAAGCCAATGATAATTATATTACTGAACTTTTAATAGACTTTCTGCCAAAATTCAATTCATTTCTAAGTACATTCACAGGTTGAAGAAAATGAGGTTGAATTTATAATCACATACTGTTTTAATTTCTAGCGATTATCGTTAGGTACATAATTTAATTTGTGAATTGAAATTAATTCGAGCATTATTTTATAATGAATTGACATGTTGATTACATGAATCGATTTAATCGTATATTGAATATTGGGTTGCTATTTTATACACTGCATCATCCATGATTAATACTCTCAGCAATCAATACTAAATTATTATGTAGATGTCTAAATAATTAATGTACTTATAATAATAATCGAATTTCCAGCAGTGAAATATCGAAAACAATTCAATGTATACAATAATAGATATCGAATATGTTCGATATATGTGACATTATGGTAACAATTTATCGACTATCATTGAAAAACTCAAGTAATTTTTAACTATAGATATTTTTATACATCCAATAAATCTTCTATCTTTCATGGACTGTAGAGAATCGAGATATATTGTTTGAAGAAATAAAGGATTATCTTGGTAGATAATACATATATTTATATATAATACAATAAAAACATGAAATGAATTTTTATAAACTAAAATGATGTATATCTTCACGTTTAGTTTTTTGTTCTCACACAATGACATCTTTCTGAAATATTTTTTTTGTATTTCAGTTCCATTATCACCATACTACTAGGAAAAAATTGAATATTTAATGTGATAGCAAAGGTAGTTTTATAAAAAGCAATTTGAGTTTTTTTTCAGTTTCTTCGATAGCAATAAAAAAACATTTTTATTTGATATTAATTTGATACTAAACACTTGGTAAAATGAAGCATTTATATGGATCAATTTCAATAGATGTATCACATAAAAAGGACATTCAGAACATGAAGCCATCATAAAAAAGTACCATATAATATCAATCAGATTAAGGTTTAGTATCAACATTTTACTTTGATGTATTCATTCATCACATGAATAAGGAGCTAAACTTGTAGTGGAGTCATTATAGCTATTGAAAGTTCTCAATAAATTCAATGGTGCAAATCATCTTTCAACCAAGTCGTTTATTGATCACTAGAAAATTAAACGACGTCGGTATTTCATAGAATAACATCAAAAATGTTATTAATATTTATCTAATAAATAAAGTATCTCACCAGAATGAGTTGACAAATCAATAAAAAATTAATTGAGCTAATTACCTAACTACTATCATACACTTTACTGATTTTGATTTGAATTTATTGAAAAGTATTTGGATTATTCCAATTCAATATTTGTAAAATTATCAAAATAAAAATTATTATAATCCAGGTAATTAAACATAAAATTTTTGCTTCATATAATTTGCAAGTTTATGCAAGATAAAAGTTTTATCCAAATGACTCAGCATTGTTTGAATGTGGCTATCACTACCGTATACATTGCAATGCTGCTGTTGCTTTTCTTCAAAGAAATATATTTTTCTCGCTTTTTAAACTATTTAAAACTTAATACATAGAACTAAACATTATCTTTCCTCTCTAATGAATGAGGTAATGACTTTCATTTGCTTATGTATCAATTATCTAAATGAAATTGATAATATTTATATCAATTAGTCCAATTTCCATTTAAATTTGTCTGATTTGTTTATTTATCTTGCATATGGAGCTATTGAATTATTCTATTTACATTCTATGCTTCAATTTGAAAACATTTAATATTGTAAATAATTGAATTGTTATTCGTTATTAAATGGATTAATAAATCATTTAACCTTTTCTCATTTTCAATATAAATATGTTTTATATGTAATTGGAAGCTAAATTAATGATTATAATTTCAGTTTACTTAATTAAATAATAATATTTATCACCAATATTGATAACCATCTAACTGAAATCAATTTGGTATTCATCACCACAATTAACGGTTGTGTGAATGGTCTACCGCATGAGTATTTTGACAACTGCATATCTTCATTCGTTTATACACTTGATAGTACTTGATGGCAAAGGATCATCATTAACATAACTATTAATATGGTTGTTAATAGTTATGGGCAGTAATATTGAATATTATTGAGTTGTATTGTACCTTTAATACAGTGACAAAACAGAAATCACATTAATTTATTAGCTATTCTATTACATACTACAATAGCATACCTAACACAATCCACATAACGATGATATTTCCGCCAGTTGCAACCAAAAGGATAACAGCGAAAATGGTTGACCACGAGAGTTTCTGCCACCATGGTAAATCGAAAGGTCGTTCTTGACCTGTGAATAGACAATCCGTAAGATTAGCTCGTAAAAGCTCTCTTTCACTTGATCTCAGTAGAACTTGATCCAACACAGATAAAAGTACACTACGGTTAAATTCAAGCAATACTGATATATCTTCTTTCAACACTATTGCACTGCAATTGTATAATTTTATAAGACTGTCACTATTCATTGTTGTACTTTTATGTTATAGAAATATTTTTATTTATTTTGTGGAAAACATATTTTCTATATTAATAATATTTCAATGTAAATTTTGTTTTGGAATAGAATAATGAGATTTTCATTCATTTATTTTCCTTATTATTCCAAAAATATTATGAAACTTTTGCAACTTTAATTCCAAAACTAAAATATCTTTTATTATTTCTCCACATATTTTAATAAAGGTACTTTTTTAATTTACTTTATGTAACATTAATATAACATTCATCACTAATATTTTTGTTTGATATTCTATTGTTTTATTGTACAGAGGTATTGTCAGATATAATGTCGATTCTTAGATTTATAAGTTGTTAAAGAAAAATACAACTTTTCTCACGTTTTCTTCACAATGTATAAAACCGATTGAAACTTAAGCTATTATTTGGTGCAATAAATGCATTTAAAATAGCAGTAATTGGAATAACTACAGAAATGACTTTATAAAATAATTATTCAATTTTTCCAACTCTATTGTTTTAATTATCTTATTTGAAAAATTCTTACACTACAATTGTTACAACTTTTAACACGTCCTTATATTGAAAATAAAAAATAATTGAGATACAATTATTTAAAGTATCAATCAGTCTAATGAAGTATTTTTTTAAATTAATGAAGATTATATAAAAACTAAATAAAGAAATTCAGGTTCCAGGACATGGTTACCGATCTCAAGAACGCTGCAAGTAATACTGAGGTTCGAAAGCACGTTCATTCAAGATTGCGTGCGCATTCTAACAGAACTCACCCCTTTTTTACATCTTTCACTATATCAAACATCCTCTTGAATGTTTGAATTTAATGAAAACAAATGTGCGTCTAAGCATTGTCAAACTAACACACGTTAGTTAGCATAATTTATGACAATTTATATATTTCTCTAGCCAACAAATATGAAGAGAAAAAAAACTAGTTATCTTATTTATTTTTTAATACACATTTTGCCAAAATCGCGAAACGTATCCTACATTTTTATTTTTCGATATAAATTTTCCGATAGTTTGACTATTTTGAAAGTATTTATTGATCATGACAACTCTTTTAATTCTTTTAATACCATAATGAAAATTGAACAAATATTTTTTTAACCACTAAATTTTATAAACTAGCATTTATTTTTAAAAATAGATAAATTTTTACTCCAGTAAAAATATTAAATTAACATGATTGTTATTTTTATTCGACCGAAAAATAACAACAAACTTCTTCAATATTTTTGCGTGATAAAATATTTTCTATCTTTTATCAGTAAAGCATAAATTTTTATATAAATTGTTAAAAAGGATTTCCAATAGTTTGTTTTTTATTTCATTAATGAATTAAATATTTTTGAAACATTCAATTTTGACAGAAAGTTTGATATAAAAATTAGATAGAATATCAAGTTTGAAAATACTAGAGGCGTTTTAGATACTCATATTGTATATGGCAGGATTATACGAAACTACCACAATGTAACTTTTCTGAGATTAAATACGTTAATTAGAACAATGAAAAACAAAATATTTCATGATTTCATTAATTTATTTTTAAATCTAAAAAAGAATGTGTAAAGACCAAAGAGATCAAATACCGATTTATTTATATTCAACTTTACCCCTTTATTCTTATTATAAAAACTCATTCTATTTAAGATGGAAAGAAAATTTAAAAGTATCAAAGAAAACTATTTATTTTAACATTTTTGTCCATAAAGTGTAATAGTCAACTTGAAAGTACAGCTGAATTTTTTTTTTCAAAATGAAATGAAATCATAATTTGCCATTAAATGGGTGTTTTATTACTCTGAATTTCATGCAGTTATCTAAACTTTCAAAAACATAAATCACTAAAGAATATCAACTGCGAAAAAATAGACAATGTTATCAATAAAACGTCAATTTATTATTTTAAAATGACAAAATTTTTAAACACTTTAAAACCAGCTCAATTTTCTACTAATAGTCACAATAAAAATTTCAAATATTAAAAAATCAACACAATTTTCAACAATTTCATTAATCAAATACCTTAATTTAGAAATATCCAAACAACAATTACTATTGCAATTTTTACAAATCAAACGTACTTTTTTCATAAATAAATTTTAAATAATTAAAAAAAAAATTTCCCAACTTTAAAATCATCATTGTAAACACTATATCACAAAATTAATTCATTTAGAAAAAGTAGACTAATAAAATGGATTTTTTTCTTAAGATTACTATCTATTTAAAATATTTCTATAAGCGTCAAATGAATTATCTTCAAGATAATTCTCAATTTAAGTGAGGTTTTAAAATTTCTGCAGTTCTTCGTCGCCAGTGCATTTTAGATGTTTTTAAATTACAAATGGAATTATTTTCTGTTATTGAAACAGAATTTTTGATTGTTGAAACACAATTCGTTTCCTCTACAGGTATATTCTCATGAATTCTACCACTCTTGATTGTCAAATCTACTATTTGTTCAGTTACCACAATAGATTTTCCTCTCGGTTGCTCATCAATTTGAATTCCTTTATTCCTTGCATCGAGATTGGGCATAATCGAATTAGATGCAATTGAATTCTTCAATTCAATTAAAGTTCCGCTTTTTGGTGGCAAAAAATTATTATCTTTTAATTTTTCTGACGTAGATTTAATATTTGGAACAGCTTTAATGAGTGAATTATGTCTTAAAGGTGGTAAACATGGTATTAATAAATGTGGATCCATCCGACTAGATTCCCGATAAAAACAAGAATTATTGTTAACACTTTGATGATACAATTTCTCTTCAATCCGTTGGTTAATAACAACTGCTTCTGCTGGTGGAATTGGCTCTGTGTACGTTAACGTTTTCTTCTTTATTACATCACCGCCTTTCACATCATCACTTCTCAATTTACTTATGGGTCCATTAATCACAGAAACGGCATTACTTAACTCTCCTGGTGCTCTAATTACTGGTAATATATTCCCCATAGAATCAATCCTTGAATTTATTTGATTTTTACTACTTCCCAACGCTACATTGTCTTTAATTAAAATTTTTTGAGATAAATTATTAATATTATTTATTTTTGATACTTTCTTTGTAACTTGATTACTTTTAGATTTTGTTGAATTAATTATTTTTTTCTTTTTAATTTTTTCAACAATTTTAGTCTTTTTAATATTATTGTCAATATTATATGGAGTATCTTCTGAATGATGATGTCTCATATGACGAGTCAAATTGTCTTTTCTCTTAAATACTGTTTGACAAACTTCACAGTTAAACGGTTTAACATCAGAATGGATTGTCAAGTGTCGTCTAACTTCACTTTTAGATAAGAATACTCGTGGACAATGAGCACAGGAATAAGGTCGTTCTTTGCCGTGTGTACGTTTGTGTCGAGACAAAAGTGATTGATCTTTAAAACTTTTCCCACAAAAATCACAAATATAAGGTCGTTCATTGGAGTGAATGTGCATATGTCTGTTAAGATTGGTTCGTATTCCGAAAGCTTTTCCACAAGATTTACAAATATACGGTAGTGATCCTGAGTGAGTCATCATATGAGATTTAAGACTTTCTTTATTACTATATTTCTTATCGCATTTTGTACAAAAAAATTGTTTATCCCGACTGTGAGACAATATATGTCGATTAAGTTTATTCTTCTGAGGAAATGATTTTTCACAGATTTCACATTTGAAAGGTTTATAACCGGTATGAACCCTTTCATGATATTCAAAGTGAGACTTTTTTACGAAACTCCGATCACAAACACTACAATGATATGGTCGAACTCCAGTGACACAGGCATCATGATAGCACTTTCCTTTTTTATTCCTAAATATTTTTCCGCATAAGGTACACTTGTAACGTTCTGGATTTCCAGGTATTACTATAATATGACTTCGATCTAAAAGTTTTCTGGGCTTAGATTGCTCAGATATATCTTCTGAATCATTAATTGTCTGTTCCGTTGATTTAATAACCGATTTATTGATATTTCCGTTAGTTTGTATTTCATTAGAAACATTTTCCCCATTCTGATTTATTATTTTAACGGAATGGGAATTCGAAACGTCTAATATTGTAATTAACGAGCTTTCTTCTGGCTCATTATCATTTCTATCGTTAGCTTTCAATGACTCACCATCTAAAAAATAAAAATCAATACATTAAAATTCTATAGTTTTTATATATTTTTAACATATAACTCATGATTGTTACTACAAATATAAATGATAATTACCTATTCTTACAAATTTGTTTTTTTCTCTTTCGCAGGTTTTGCATCCTTGTTCTTCGTATAATAAACAAATGCGACATTTTCTATGACCACAAGAATCTTCAATTAATCGAGAACAGGAATCATTTGTCAATTGTCCACAATTAGGACAGTCTTCACTCATTCTTACCACAAACTCTGTATTATACACTTTATTTTACAGTTAATTACATTCATTGATTCTTTTATTTACAGTTTTACCATTCATCATGAACTCTATTATTTACATTATTTAGGTTAAAATATAAAACACAATCAAACACTCTAATACACATATCCATAACTTTTTGTCATTTATTTACAATACACAATTAAAATATTAAATCTTCAACTAATAACACAATATATATTTATGATTCATCTTAACGATAAGTAATCTTAAAAACTAAATTAATACGATTATAAATGTGACTTATAAATAAAATAGATACACACATGTACACAACACGTCATCCTGAGCGGAGAAGAGAGACTAGTATAGAAGCTCAACTCAAATGGACGATTAAAACATGAGTTAGAGACTCGTCAAAAAGACGGGAGATGGCGTTGCTATGAAAAGGCAGCGCTCAAGGCGGAGCAAAAACTAAACACAGTATGATGGGGAGGAATAGAATTAGTGGTAGGATTTTGAAACGCACGTGTTAGATTTTATGATAACACATAATTCTCAGGTGTAATAAACATATTTACAAATTTATAAATTTACCTGAATTCATTGAAACAATGTCGCATTAATTATAACCTTAAAACAAGTGTGTTTAATGTAAGTTGCTTTTAATAACCTATAACTAATAATTAGACGTATATGCACAATATATATGTTTATTTGTTTTCCAATATTAGAAAAGGAGATTTAAATTTAAAAATATTATCAAAATGAATGGTCGACTTCGAGGAGAGGTAAACTCTATTTAAAGATAGATTCATTAATTAAAATGACATTCTATGCATCTATATTAAGTTTTTATATTTTAGGTTCTCAGAACATTTAAAAAATTACATAAAACTAGAAAAATAATATTTCAAGGGGATGAACGCGCTTTAAGTTGTGAGTATATTTTTGTTAACTGTATCAGTCATTCATTTAGGATTTAAAATTAAAAATCTTTTTCAGTCGTTAGAAACAAAATCAACGATGAATTTAAAAAAAATAAACATGTGACTGATGAAAAATCTATTGAAGAAGTAAGTAGCATAGATATCATTTTAACATAAAATAAAGTAACTAATTATGTATATTTTTTATTACAGTTGAATAAATTAGCATTAGAAGTAGATCACGAATTAAAAACAACCGTAATTCAAGCAATAGAAAAAAAACCAGGAACATATGAACTTAATATTCGAAAAGATCATTTAATAGATAATACAACGTTACCGTTAACTTCATTTTCGAAATCCAATCGAAAATGTAGCTCCAAAGGACGAGAATCAAGTAACGGAAAATTATAGCACAAATAGTAGAAAGTTTTTTTAAAGTATTTATTCATTTATTTATTCAATAATAACAGTTGTAATAGTAATTTTATTCACTTATTTATTTGAATTCTTTCTCAATTTAATACTTGACAGTATTATTTGTTGTCTATAATAATTTTGTATGCGGTTATCAAAAGCATCAAGAACAATTACTGTCAATCCTCAATGACTTCCATCTTCATCCTAAAAGTAATTACAAAGAAATTGAATGGCGTTTTTCGTTATTTTATCGTAAAATGTTATATTTACTTACCAGAGTGAGATAGAAATTCTAAAGGAAATTAAAGGTTCAAGGAAGCTCAATGAAAATAAATATTTTTAAAGGAAAATCTAATGGAAATGAATATCGATGATGTTAATAAAGTAGAAAAGTTAAATTGTATTAAAAAACAGTTAGAACATAAACATATATAAGCTAAACTTTTAAATTGTTATATATTTAACGTAATAGTAACGTCGTTAGTCTATTCCTTTGAAACACGAGAAAAATATAGCCAGCCAGAGTATTAGACGAAAAAACTTTTTCGCTTTCTTACGAAAAAGCTGCTATAAAAACTGATTCATTGTCTCAACTTTATGCTGATGCAGTTCTGCTTGATGTCAATTGATAATGATAGTGATTGTTTAACTATTGTGAACATATTGAACATTATTTGAGATATGAGAAATAGAATTTTCTCTAGTGTTACTTACTTTAGTATACAAAAACTTGTTGAATAGACTAACGAAGTCCTTTGTTAAAATTGATGTAAATTTTTATGTCAAAGTGGAGCTTCGGTTTTGTCAGATATTCTAATTTATCTCCCCTTTTAGTTAATAATTAATTAATTAATACATTAACTAACTCTAGTAAATAATTAATATAATTATCTATAACTAGACTAATTATTTAAATTGAAATGAAATAATATACTAACGCATGCTCAGGATGATTACGTATTTGATCAATTAAGTCTGTTGGTTTAAGTTCTCGTGAGCAAATACGATGAACTGCAGTGAATAGAGGAAATTTATCAGTAACATTTTGTGCTTTTAACATTCCATTCACTTCTTCAGCGGTTGCTGGTCCTTGAAGTTTTTGTCCACCAAGTAACTCATCTTCTAATTCCTTGATTGACTTTCCAGTTTTTACAAACTGTTCACAAACTCGTCGATTTCTACCACCATAACATGTTGTGATTAGATCTGCTACGCCACAGCTTTCAAAGAATGTTGCAATTTTAGCACCTCCGTAAAAAGTGTCAACAAATTTAATCATCTCCATTAAACCCAATCTAATTACTGCAGCTTTCGTGTTATCTCCGAGTCCCATACCATCCACAAAACCGGCAGCACAAGCAACAATATTCTGAAAATTTTCCATTCTGCTTTATTAATACGTTTTTATTTTTCAAAATAAATTATAAAAGTTTTCATAAAGTTTCTCTAAAAAAAAATTTCAATTTCTCACGACATTCACAAATAAAAGACTTACTTTAAGAGCACCACAAACTTCAACAGCTTCGCAATCTTCTACAACGACAACTCTAAAGTTGGGTGTCATCATTAAATCTCTTAAAATGGGAGCAAGTCGTTTATCCTTACATCCTAAAAAAATTAGAAAGTATTTTAAATTCTAGCCAATCTTTAAAATTATCCTACTATTGAAAGTCACTGGTTGATTGATTAATTGAAAAATTACCAATAGTTGTTTCACAGAATTTTTCTTCTGCAACTTCGTTAGCAAGATTGGCACCCATCAAAACATAACAAGGAATTTTCAAATGTTCTTCTACTACTTTAGAAATCAATTTGATACTTTTTCCATCTGAAGAATCAAATCCTTTGATTAAAGAAAGCCCGACAGCAGTGGGTTTAATTTTTCCTAGCATTGCAGCTGCTAAGCCACGTATAAATTGATGTGGTATTACAAAAATTAAAATGTCAGCATCTTTAGCAGCTTCAACAACGTCTGGAACTGCGACCTAAAATCATCAAATATTACAAATAATTTACAATAATATCTTAATATTGTTTTCATTCTTAATAAATAAAAATAAATCTTATCAACTATTGTTTTTTTCCAAACTAGTTCTCTAACTTTGGCATCGATCCATAAACGTCTTGAAGGTCAGCTGCATCTCAATGTGCTTCCGTGTGCATCCAACGAACGTGAGAAGCTTATGCAACTACGGCTAAGCGGAAGTCTGGTCTATTAGCCAATTGATCATGATCGACATTCAAAGTTCCTCCCAGTTACAAAATTCATTTGTTTTATTTCAAAAACCACTCCAACATATTTGCATTATTTTTTTTCTCAATCGACAACGAATTTTTTTTATGATATAGTTATCATGATTAATTTATATAATATTCTAATCCGGATGAAAATGATATTTAAAAATGTAATCTACAATTTTGCGTCAGATGTCCACTGATTAATATAAATCTTTCTGTACTGGTAATTTTATTTTATCGTCTCACACAATGACAGTAATAATCTTTGTAACCCATACCATTATAGCTACAGCTTATATTAAATACACGCCCATACCAATGTTCTGCATCAGTTCTCTAGCAAACTTGCAATAAAGTGCACGTTACTTGTGGTTCAGTTAAAACTTTGACTTCATCATATCATACACTATGCGTCTTAATTCGGTGGTTCCAAATTTCCAAGCTGATACAACTCAAGGACCAATTGATTTCTATGAATGGCAAGGAAATTCGTAAGTCATTTTACTATATTTCACTATAGCAAAGCCTGTAGAATTTATGGATCCTAAATATTATAAAATTATTTAAAAAACAACGCAATAAATGATGCAATAGTTTAACTTATTTATTATTATTGTATAGCTGGGTAGTTTTGTTTTCACATCCGGCGGATTTTACTCCAGTTTGTACGACAGAGCTTGGCCGAATTGCAGTTCACTACCCTCATTTTGAAAAGAGAAATGTAAAGCTACTGGCCCATTCAGTAGATAAACTTAAGGATCACGTCGATTGGGTCAATGTTAGTCTCTTTATGATAAATAATATAATCATGAGATTCTTGGTTTGCATAAAATATTTTTTGCCATTTCAGGACATTAAATCTTACTGTCAGGACATTCCTGGATCATTCCCATATCCTATTATTGCTGATGATGACCGTAGTCTAGCAGTCAAATTGGATATGATTGATGAGGATTCCAAAGATGATGCAGAACATGCTCTGACTGTCCGTTCTCTTTATATCATTGATCCTGATCATCGCCTTCGTTTGAGCATGCAGTATCCTACATCTACTGGTCGCAATGTCGAGTAAATAAAATTAATTTTATGAAGAATTAGAATACAAATGATATAAAGTAGTTTATTAATTATACTTTCATGAATGCATGCTATGACTAATTATTTATGATTTCAGTGAAATTCTTCGTGTTATTGATTCTCTACAACTTGTTGACCGTATACCACAAATCGCTACGCCTGCTAATTGGATAGTAAGTATAATTTTCTTTAATGCATACAAATAAAAAAATATTGAACTTTTTTTTTCCATTCTATTAGCCAGGAGAAAAAGTGATGATTTTGCCAACCGTTCCTGAAGAAGAATTAGAAGCTCTTTTCCCTGGAGGAGTTGACAAAGTTTGCATGCCTTCAGGAAAAGTTTATGTTCGCACCACTACTGATTATTAAATTTATTCCTTTTCACTATTACACAAACAATGTTCCCTCTTTAACACAATTAAAAAATGTTATTTATCTTATCTTATCACCTTCGATAAATTAATCATTTATTAATAATAATAAATGACATACTTTTATACTTTCATGATATAAAAACTTGAATAAAAAAAAGCTTTAATAAATTTAATTAGTATCAATTCATTCAAAATTGTTTATCTACACCTTGTATGTTGATAGCTCTTAATAGAAGAAAAAAAAATTTTAATAATGAGTATATTCAATTATGTAGATAAATAGAAACTAGAGATAAGTAATTAAAATAATGTGTCAATAGAAATAAAACATGATTACATAATACATACGATGTTTGGTGGAAGCTTGTGGCCTGGTAAGTACTTGACATTTTCATGTTGTTGATTGATTATTTCTGTAAGTTTTTTACCATCAATCATTTCTTCATATACATACATAGTAACAGTCTCTTCAAATTTGTTATTGAACTTTGTAGCATTGGCGCCTACAATTTTTGCTATAGCCGAGCCCCTGGTGGGAAGATGAGATTACATTTATTTAATATTCATTTATTTTAATGAATTGATTATATTTAACCTTTTGAAAATAAATTAAAATTGAATTTTGTTAAAATTTGCAATGATAATTATTAGTCTAATAAATTATTAAATATTTCAAATCTATTTATATTTAATCCTGCTTTAGATAATAGAGATTATCTGAATTCTTGATGAAATTAAAATAAAATAACAATTATAATTTTATCAACAAATGTAAATATTCTAATTATTAATATAATAAAAAATTTTATGTACCAATTGCCACTGCCAACGATGCAAATCTTCTTCTTCGACATTTTATATTTGTAAAAAAGTTGTTTGGTTTATCAACAAATTATCACACTGATACTTATACAAAACAATTCGAAAACTTGAAAAAATTATCTCTTCTTATTTGATTCTTCTGTTTTGATCAATGTCAATCAATTAACTGCCTTTAAAACATTTGTGCTACTCATTTACTATTGACCTTAACAACAAGCTAACGAATAAATTCGGTTCTTGAATAAATCTTGGACCCTCTCCAAAGTAATGAAAGACCCAGCCCACTAGGGTACTTGGCCAATGTTAAATTTAACATCACTATGATAATTACATACTATTATATGTACAATTGATGCAATTATTCGACATTGACACAATTTTAATACTTTTGTATATGATTGTATAACGAAAACATAAAAAGAAAATATAATTTTTAATCATCAATAACATAAAAAATCATCAATAAAGAATTAAAAAATTTTTTTTATAATGGCATAGATGAAATTAGTCATTTCACCTACATATGAAAAATATATTTATTGTTCTTCTTCATTTGGTTCACTTGAAAATCAGTTTCTCTATAAACTCTTCACTCTTGAATGACTTAAAGATGGCACTTTGGTGGTAGATTCTCATCACCGTCAAACCTAGATGTGCAGTAAAATGAATGATAAAAAAAATTAATGATCATGATCATGATAGTTATTGTTAAAAAATATTTAAAATAAAGTCATATGAAATTGGTTAAAATTCCCCAATAAAACATGCATGAAGAAGCTTGAATATGAATGTACTGATATTGAAAAGTTAGTAATAGAAACATTAAGAGATTCATAAAATTAACAGACAATAAAACTATATTTTATCTTCGCAGTTACAATTATTTTCATCAATAACAATTCGATCACAATATTTCATAATAAAGTTACACAATAAAACATCACTTTAATCCTCTTCAGGGACTTTCATTCTTTCTAACTTTCCTTCATTTTAAAATTTTTAAGATTTATAGAGAGAAAGCAACTTTACTACTTAAATTTTTTAACTAAAATAGTTGTAAATAATATTTTAAATAAAAATCTCTATTTACATCATTTATTTATATTTCAACAAAAAATTTTTGACTAACTAAAAACTACAAAAATATACTTATAAATTTTACTAGAATCATTTCTATCATTTGGTTCATTGATTGATTTATATTTATTTTTGGTAAGTCCTTTGGTACTAAAATTATCTAATTCATTGCACGATTTTTTTTACGTTCAGAACGTTTCGAAAATGCAAGTTTAGAACAATAAATGCATTTAAAAATTATAAGCAGTATTTTTACTTATTAAAAGTTATAAATTTTTCGTCAAGCTTTTGATAAATAAGACTTGGCATAATAATAGAAAAAAATTTTAAATATTGTTTCTTTAAATCTTGCAGTAAGGGAGGGACTATTTTTTTAATTGATAGCTTTTCTATATGTACATTTACTAAAATTTAAATCAATATTTCTGTATAGAGACAGTATCTTAGAGAAACTTGCATAAAGTCTACAGAAAGAATTATTTTGTACTGCGATAAATAAAATGGAATTAATTTAGAAACGAATATGTTTAAAAGTGTTTAAAAAATATTTCCTCTTCAACCATAGAATAAAGGGACTATTCATTTGATAAATTTTCTTTAGATTTTGAGCTTACATGTGTTCGGGATGATTTCGTATGCAGTCGATAAGGTCTACCGGTCTTAAATCACCGATACAAATTCGATGAATTGCTGTAAACAGAGGAAATCGTGCCTCCATATTCTTTGCTTTGAGCATATAATTGACTTCTTCTGCAGTAAAGGGTCCTTGGAGTTTTTGTCCATTGAGCATTTCTTGCTCTAGTTCAGCAATACTCTGAAATAATAATTGAATTTTGTTGAAATTTATTTTTAAACTGATCAATATTATTGATTATAAAATAAATAGATAAGAATTAGAAGAAATAAGAATACCTTTCCTGTTTTTACAAAGGCTTCAGACACTTTACGATTTCGTCCACCATAGCATGTTGTAATAAGATCTGCTACACCACAGCTTTCAAAGAATGTACTTAGTTTACCTCCAGGATAAAACACGTCTACAAATTTTATCATTTCCATAAGCCCTAATCGAATTACAGCTGCTTTTGTATTGTCTCCAAGTCCAATTCCATCAACAAAACCAGCACCACAAGCCACAATATTCTAAACAATGAAGAAATTATGTAAGAAGCAGTGAACAATTAAAAAACTATTAGCGTGAAAAGTTTTTATTGAATAATAAAAAGTGTTTTGTTTAATTACTTTAAGTGCACCACAGCATTCGACTGAGTCAACATCATCAACAACTACCACTCGGAAAAATGGAGTTTGAATCATATCTCTTAAAATTGCGCCCATCGCGTTATCTTTACATCCTATAAAAACATATTTAATCATCAATAAACAGACAAGAGATTAAAAACTTATAACATTATGTAATTTTCTTTTATATGGCTGGATAATACTATGGATTTATGATTATCTCAATTGTAAATTTCTAAAAAGTTATTTATATTATCAAATAAAAAATTTTAAGTAAAAAATCATAATAGCAATAACTATAAAATGAAATTTGTTTTAAAAATCTTGCTATCTCAATAATCTTTTCCTTCACGAAAGAACTTTCATACTATTGTTAATTTGTTTTTGTTTTTTTTTTTTAGTTTTTCTATGTTTATATTTAGAATGACCGAGTCTGACATTCTTTCAATTATGCCTTACCAATAGTAGTCTCACAAAACATCTCATCAGCTACTTCAGAAGCTAAATTAGCTCCCATTAATACAGCCATTGGAATACTCAATTCCTTTGCAATTATGTGGGAAATAAGCTCGATACCTCCTCCTTCTTTCTTATCAAATCCCTGTGAAATGAATGAAAAATTAAAATACCATTCGAATCATGATATTCATAACTAATAATATAACTTTATACTTTAATTAAAGATAATCCACAAGCAGTAGGTTTAATTTTTCCTAGTAAAGTACTGCATATTCGTTTAATGAATTGATGAGGGACTACAAAAACAAGTATATCAGCATCTGATGCTGCTTCAACAACGTCAGGAACTGCAATCTGAAAACGAATGTCATACGTCAATAAAAATCTTTAATTTTCTAAGATAAATACAAAATGAAGGTCAGAAGTGTTAAAATAAATTTTACTAAGCTGAAAATTGTATAAAAATAAATCTTTCAACTGAATAGAATGCGCGACTCTTCATCTTTTGTCATGTTACATCAAAAAACTTCAAAAGTTATAACATAGTAACCGATAATATATATATATGTATATAAACATATATAGTTATTGGCCTTGAGGAAAATGTACGTCAGATAAATGACGTAGATAAATGTTAGTTAAAATGAGATATAAAGAATAAGTGATGTCAGGAAATATAATGAATGAACAGAACAAAAACTTATTCAGGTAAAATGAGGAAGTGAAGTTAATACAATTGCGATAACTAACAATAAGTAACTCTTTATCATATATCGTTTATTCGATATTAATTGAGAAATCATTGAAAATATCAATAATTTCGAAACCAACAAGAAATATTTCAAAACAATAGTTCAATAGCACACATAAAAAATTCCTAATGTTAGACAAAATTTCTAAATATCGTTGAATAACAATCGTTTCTACGTTAAAGTAGATTTATACTTTATGAAAAGTAGAAAGTGATTATATAATTAAATATAATAGGAAATTTAGAAATATAATATTTGAAAAAGTTTTTATCAATCAGAGATATGTTGATTAATATGAGTACATAACTTTTGTTAGTTGTCTCATGATCATTGATAGACATAAAAATTTGCTTGTTATTTTGTCAGATAATTTCTGTATTTGTTTTTAAAAGCTGTTTTGCATGATCTGTGAAATTTTTCTTATCAGTTATATACTGATAACTTACCACATTCTCGGGTATTTTATGACCTGGGAGATACTTGACATTTTCATGTTCCTCATTAATAATTTCTGTTAATTTCCTCCCATTTATTATTTCTTCATAAACATACATTGTCACCCGATCATCGAAATTGTCCAGCTGCTTTGCATTAGCTCCAATTATCTTCGCTATCGCTGAACCCCTGATAAATTATAATATATAAAATTTTAAATACTATCCAACAATATATGAAATATAAAAGTAAAATGATGTAAATTCTAACTCAAGGATTGTTAAAAATTAAAAACTACAAATGTAATTGTTCTTCGCCAATTTTATGCATAAAAGGGTGGTTATTCAATAAAATAATATATAGAACAAAGTTCAAGGCCATATAAATATCGTCACTGATTTTAAACAATAATAGAAATTAATATGATAATAACATGGTAAGAGAAAATACCTTTGTACTTTCATTATTTTTTCAATCTCATTATTTATAGAAATGAAATTTTTTTCCAATTGTGATCCTGTCATTATTCATTTAAATTTTCAATGAATACATTTAATTTAAACAAAATTTTTTATGAATATTTTATAATAACAATTTTATTAGAATGTATTTTTGTATAAAATATAAAAATTATAGGAAATATCTTTAAAAACTTGATAATGCTGACGATATTGCGTGACTATTTTGCTATTTATATTACCAATTTAGTGGAATTAAATGAATTAAAACTCACCAATTTCCTGATCCAATGATACACACACGTTGTTTAGTTGCCATTATTGATTATATTAATTTTAAACAGTTTTAACTGGTAATGAATTAATTACACTTAAGATTTAAGAAAAATTGGAGCGCTGATCAGCCAAACAGTCTAGACTGTCGAGTGTCCAATGCTGATGTCTACTGGAAGTGGAAAATGGTGTAGCAGAGAAACGAAGACAGAACAAACGCGCAACGTTGACGATGGCAACTTCATGGGAGAAATGGAGCAAAGTGGGGGAAACACGTGATGTAAGATTTATCGATCGATGAAGAAAATAAAGATGCAATGCCATAATACACTAGAGTACTTGTTAATAATTGAATTAAATCCTATATTATATTATCTAAATGATACAAGCTATATTTTAAAGAAATCTTATAAATACAAAAAGAATTTTATAGATCATTTATTGATTCTTTATTTAATGCTAGGATACAATAACGTACATAATGCCGTTTTTAAACATATTTTCATGCTCTTTTGAAAAAATTCAGATCTAACAATTATTATTTGCCACCTCTTAACTTTTTAATTAAATTCATGTACAGTTGGTTTTAAATACATTAGAGTTTTCTATGTAGATTTATAATAAAATAGAGACAAAATTTAATATTACCTTGTTTAAATAAAGTGAAAGTTTTTATTTTTTACTTAACTCGACTTTAACTATGTAAATGTTAAGAAGTGTATATATTATTAATGCTCAGTAAGATTAAATATTAATACGATAATATTATTTTTTAATATCTTTATTCTTCTGGTGTTGATTGAGCACTTTCTAAAATAATTTCGAAAGAGAATGGAGTAAATGTATATCCTAAACCTGCATAAAATTTACTTTGGAACTCAACCCTAAAAAATATGTTTTCAGTTAGAAAATTTGATTATCAAATTTATATTTAATTTTTTTCTTACCAATGAAGACGTAGAGTATGTAAGAAAGCTGAAAGTCCTTCCATAAGAACAAGGATTCCTACTGTTAGCACAGCCCAAAAAGCAAAAACTATCCATAAAAATATGCCTCCAAACCAACCTTCTTGAACTAATCCATTTCTCATCACCATGTTCCATAAAACCTCAGATAATTCTATGGTAATAAAATTTTATGGATAGTAATTTTTATTTAATAGCAATAAATAAAAAAATTAACGTTTTAATAAATTACCAGGAAGACTTACGTGCATGAGCAAGAGATAAAGCCCAAAGACGAAGATAAGAAGCAGTATGTGATACACTTCCAAGAACATATTCAATGGTATGAATTCCTTGATGAATGAAAACTTCACTTATATCTTCTTCTTCTTTGTGTCCCATTGCAAGTCCTTGATTTGGTTGCATAGCACCAACTCCTCCTTCAACATCTCCATTTTCTTGTCCATGATTATTAAGTTGATAATGCTGTTTTCTACTACGCATTAACAAAATAGGTTTTGCTAAAAGCATCCAAGGTATACAAAGAAATGCAATGACAACCAGGAATCTTTGAATACCAAACTGCCCGGCAAACATGAATTCACTGCATGGATCATTTTTTGCATTTTCTGAATCCACCTCATTTGGGGATTTAAATAGTACCATATTAATGAATGTGATTAAAATAGATGGAGCACAATGAGGGCCATATTTTTCTTCATTGACAGCTGAATATGATGTCCACTTGATGAACATTAACAAACACATGTACATAAATAAGAAAGTCAGGAAAATGACTTGTGGTACAAACTCGCAAATGATATTTTGACGTTTTTTGAAGTAAAGATGGTTTTTCAGACCCACAAGAACACCAAACAACATGTGAATTATACCAAATATGATTGATATCTTCATTTTATAAGAATTCAAAAAGATGATTTTATTTTCAGTCAATTGCCAGACTGGATCCATACCAATTGGATAAGGATATTGTAAGTAATCAGGCCCAGGGTTTAATGATATTGATTTGTTGGTATGAATATCATGCCAATCATTGTTGACTACCCAGTAAGATCCAAAAATGTTTAAGGATTTGGAAAATACATCATTGTAAATAAAACCAGTGTACATGGAGAATAAACCCATAAGGAAGATAATATATCGACCACCGAAGAAAATATTCCATATTTCATTATCTGATTTTTGTGCAGTAAGTGGCTTTTCTTTTAATACCATCCAAAGACCAAAAAGGAACATGAGTAAACCGTGTCCAGTATCACCAAACATCACAGCAAATAAAAATGGAAATGTAATAATGGTATAAGGAGCTGGATTCATTTCTCTGTAAGTAGCAACTCCATATGCATCAATCAATGCTTGAAATCCTTTTGTAAATTTATTGGTACGATTGTATGTTGGTGGATCCTCAAATGACTCCATTCGATTTAGAATTGGCGGTACGGAACTTCCACTGCGTTCCTATTGATAGTATAAATATAATTATTAAAAAATATTAAAGCAGTAGATGAAAAAAAAATATATATATATATCTATATATTACAGTTCCACGTCGAAGAGCCAGCTGAATAGTTTCGATATCTAAAACTGGAACCCAGCATTCAGCGATTAAACATTTTTGGGTAACATCCAAGTTAAATAGATTCAATGTATGATAAATGGCTTTAATTTTTCGAACTTTGATGAACCAATTTTTGATATTCTTTGCAGCAGCTACAAGTACTCGGTGACGGTGATCCTGAGTTTGTCCTAAAACCTACAATAACATTTCTGGATGTAATTATTTATAATATGAAGGGTTACTAATTTAATTTGAACTTAAAATATATATGAAAATAATTTTTGAAATAAATCTTACGGTATTCAAATCTTCAATACGAGTCATAACACCCATAGACATTTCACGTCTATCAGCAGGTGCTTCAGGACATGGATAAAGAGTAGCACGAAAGCCTTCACATATTTTTTTGACTCTAGTTTTCAATTGATCTCCTTGGAAAAAAATAATAAAAACTGATTTGAAAACTTGATCTCCCTGTAAAATAATAAATAATAATTAATATTTAATTATAACGATATTTTAAAATATATAATTTAATAATCATACTGTGGATGGATCTTCTAATGCAGAATCGATTTCTGCTTGACGAAGAAAAACATTTCCTCGACATGCTCGCCATAGCATACGTTCAAAAGCTGGAATCCTTTCTCGTAAAATAACTCCAGCGACGAAACTAATTCATAATAAAAAAACTTTTTAACAAATTTGAGCCAGGTAAGATATATACATCAAATAATGAATGTAAATTTATAATTAAAGAATTAATTGATTAATTTGGGGCAAACAGCAATTAATTGATGAAAATCGGCACGTCGTAACTTGAAATCTTTCTTTAAAACACCTGTATGACTTTCTATATGCTTTTTTACACACTCCATCAGTGCCCTATGCCTACTGATTCTATCATTAATGACCTTTTTCGAAGATTTAAATTGTTTGATTGGTACTCATTAATTTGAACTAACAATAAAGATAGATCTTCATGATTTTTCAACACTATATTGAAACCATGTCTGGCAATATTGTAAAAGCATATGATGATTCTTGTAGCCATGGTCTTTTACATACCTTAATAATCAAAGTTGAAAATAAGATGGTCATGTGAATAACCCCACTATGAAAGATGCTTTAAAAAATGCAGCTGGGAATTATCAAATATTAAATATTGACAATAAACAACAAACCCACACTCAAGTATATATTTAATTTTAATAATGAAAACTCACATAATGCTACTTTACCACACTTTTAACCAAAATCAAATTACATTTTAAACATTAATTAAAATTATTTGATTAACGATTACTACAATTTGTAAGATCAGTAATGATCGATAAACATGACAAAAAACTGTAAATTTATATAGTGTATACTGCACATCAGTATATTTTTATGCGAATGATTTTACAAAGATATCATATCAAAAGATATTAAAATAATGAATAACGATATGAATGAAAACAATAACATAAAAATAAACATTTGGAATATTTAGAGGCTTTGTTTTTTTATTAGAAATAGAGCTGACTCGTTAATTATTTTACTTTGTGTTTTTGGGCATTAGATAGAGGTGAAAGGAAGCGATACAAATTATAATCATCCGTGCTTTTTAAATCTACATACATTCCAAAGATTCCAAACAAGAAATAGAATAAATAAAATAATAAAAATAATTTTATAGTGATTAAATAATTATAAATAATGACAAAATAAACAAATTATAAGTATAAACAAATAAATAAGTGGAGTAAACTACCAAGGCATAAGAAGTATTATTGCTTTATATCAATTATTTATATGATTATTATTACATTTATCATAATTTCTACTAATTTCAACAAGGGGGGGAAGGATTAAAAATACAAGCAATATTTAGATCTAAATACTTTTAAATACCATAGAAATTATTTGTCAAGCTTTTAATCAAATATTTTTGATATTTACTTCTGAGAATTGAAACAGGAGTTATCTGAAATTTATTTTTCAAAAATTAATTAAAATTTGGATAAAAATTTTTTTTTGTCATTGTTAGCTGTTGAAAGTATTTATATTTTCAGGATGATTTCGATTAAGAAGTCAGTTTAATAGGGTCAGGTGTTATCTAGTTTTGAAGGAGGTGAGTGAAGGTACATACCCCAACTGGACAGGACCAAGGGCGGACTGGCGGGCGATATTATCATCACTAATCAACGCGCGTGTCATGGACTCGGTGGGGTTCAAGCCTGCGTGCTCTTGCTGACGACACAACAGACAAGACACAACCACATTATAATTAGCACACTAGACACGGGACCACAATGCTCAAATAAAACGCCACTCGATGCCGTTGCATATGGGTGCTTGGCCTTCAGTGTGCGTGCAGGTGTTAACTAAATCCTCGATCATTTTTATCTTTTTCTTGCAATTACGACAATTTATTTTTCCATTTATTCTTGGAAATTTAATACATTCTGTATCGTTATAATATTTTCTTATCAAAATTATTCTGTTCGAGAATTTAGTAATTACACCACATATAATCTAAATATGAATTGCCAAACTGAGTGTTTATTTTTTCTTTAACATGACAATTAAAAAATTTATGTTAATGTACGTTTATTTAAAATGGTTGAAAATGAAAAAATATAATAATGGCAATTCTTATTTAATAATCTGAAAGAAAATGTACATATGTGTAATTATGATTGTGTTATTAAAATAAAAATCCATTGGCCATTTAATTTTTATAGGAAGTTGTTTAAATGTATGTTGTAATTATTTTTTTACTATTTGTGTATCTTACGGGCCCCTTTTAACTAACTTTAAACTCATTATTATAATTTATTATTATTAAATATGATCTAAATTTTAACAATGACAAAAATAATAAATTTACCATGTTCTAGCAAATAAAAAAAAGATAAGCAGTTAGCTATTTAAGACAAAGGCATGGTGCATATGGTTGCAGAATAATGATGCATAATAATTTCATTTAGTTATATCATAATATCAATAGGTCATCCCATTATAACTATTTTTAACGAACTTGTATACAATAAGCAAAGTAATTAAGACAATAATGATGCATCAAAAAAAAAGGATAAAAACACTACAGAGATGTTTGTTAATTGGAATAAAAATTGATATACATACCCATGGCCACACCATCATCATTTATATTGTTATTTACATGACATGGCTCTAAACTTAAATATAAAAATGCTAATCCTATAATTAAAGAAAAAAAAACTAAATGGTTTATTTACGAGGCAGTGATTGCTTAAATATCTGTGTTATTTAGATGATTATTTTTTTGCCAATTTTTATCAACAATTTAAAATTCTTATAATATTTATTCAATATTATGAAAATATTTTCTTTAATAATTTTAACGACGTTGAGATTTACATTGACAATTTGCAAAATCCATATTATTCACAATATTTATGTAATTAATTGAATTGTTATTACTACTAAATATTAATGATATTACTTGTTAATAGATGTGTTTTTTATAACAATAAGAAATCAAATGACTACATTATGAACAGTCTCAATTGTCTTTTCTCGACAAAGAAGGCAAATTGAAAGCATACTATGACTTTTTGGTGATTAAATTATTAAATAATTTAAAAAAAGTTAAATTTTGATTATTCAATTGCCTTTATGATCTTTTGTTGATTAAAAGTCAGCTGAAATAGCATAACAGGCAAACATTGAGGCAAAAAAATGTAATTGGCAAACGCAAATAACTGTTGATAACAGCTTGCCTGAGGGGATTCCTATAGTGGGCTCCTACGGTGTCTGCTGCAGTGTACAGGTGCTGTAACCATAGAATACACTGGCTTATTGTGCTTCTTAATTAAATAGAGCCTCGTAGTGCACCTTTATCGATAAAATAATAACTACTTGATATTAAAAATTATGAAAAAATAATTGAATAAATTTTTTAAATATACATATTTAATATTTTCTCACTCGACTGCCTGATTTTCGTATGGGTATTTTCATCTCAAGACTTAGCCATTTAAACCGAGAACACACTGGTGCATATCAATAGTGCAATAAGTGGACTTAGAATACATTTTTCTATTAAATTAAAAAACATGCAGTCACGTGTGAATCTCGGTTATTTAATTTTTATAATGAAGGATACAGTGATCTTTATAATTATCAACCAATCAAATAATTTCATTGATTATATGTATAATTTTGATTAATATATTTTTTGAAATAATTAGGATTCGAAGATCACTGTATCCTAAGTTGTGGAGATGAAGACCACATTCAATTACCCGAGTTTAAGAGCCTGGCCGCCAGCGCGGAGGCCCTCCTCACCCAAAAGAGTAACTTGTTCTTCCTCGCGACTTGGATCTGCCATCTGCGACATGACACTTTCATGCTCAGCTTCGTAATGAATACATGTTACATTTCCATATGCCAAGTCTCACCAAAATGAAACTTTTATAATTATTCTTAATGTCACATTTTTATCGATACTTTTATAAATAATTTTGAATTATGATAAACCATTCGATAAATAATACAAAAAAAAAATATCAGAGACAATGCATTGGTAACTTGTGTTCATTGCAGTACTGTAACATTTTGTTAGTTAGCGACTAACACATTAAGACTCCCTAAAATCATCTAAATTATTATTAATAATACAAGGGACAATTGTAGACTACCATTATGGATATTTGATTATTATATATTATATTAATTTTTCATAAAAAAAAAATTTCATTTCTTGCTAATAATGAAGTTTACATGATCAAATATTCTTGAGTGCAAGTGCTAATTTTTGTCTTTTTTTGCGTGAAATATTCTAGCAAATAGTAAATGTGGAGCCAATAATTCAGCCATTTTTAGCAAAAATTATGAAACTTTCATGCACCTTCCAATTTTAAAAAAATGTTTCGTGATAAAATTATTCAAATAATTATTATCCTTCACTTTATTGATAATTAAATATATTAGAAAAATTTTTTTCAATATAACATATTAAATTACTACTTCTTTTTCTGTTTTATTAAAGTTAGGACCCGTTTCTTTTTTATGTATTAAAAAATAACAAATTACACTGTTAACAAAAGATAGAGCCATGGATTTTTCGTTTTAAAATACTATTTTGCATTCTTCAAATAATTGATTAGTTCATTTACACCCTAATTAGCGATTTAGTATCAAAAAAGACTATTAATGTTACAAAATATACTAAACATTTAAATAAATAAATGCTTACCTCGTCAAAGAATACTTGAGTTTTTCTCAAAATATGTTTTAATTCAGTAAGCTCTAAAAAATTTCGTTTTAGAGCTTCTGCATTTTGGTTCACCTCTCTAAGCTCATTTTCTAATTTTTCAAATGTTGCTTCAAGATCAATCATCTCACGAGGTTGTGGTGCTTCAGGATTTTCTCCAGAATCAGGCATTGGTGTTCCATCTTTTTTAATTTCTTTTTCCAAATAACGAAGCTTACGTTCCATTTCATCACACCGCCGTACTTCATTTACAAACTTCCTTTGAAAGGCGTTTACATCAGGATTCAGCTAAAAAAGAATTTAATCACGAGTATGTAATTAAGGTCATTTCCGAGACCTTGAAAGTCATTATAAACGATAGAAAAAAATTTAGATTGCCTATCAATATAGAATTATTGATTACTATTACTTATTTTACTTACATCACGGAATTGAACAAGACCAAGTTCTCCAAGTTCAGATACACATGCATAAGCTGCTTCACTTTGCAAAAAGAGCTGACACAAGGTCATTTCTTCACTTCGAAAAAGCGAGCCCATTTTTATGAATTTCGATTGCCGGGTTTATGTAAATATAAAATATAAATATTGAAAAATAATATTCTCAGTCTTTAATCGCCTCGTCGTTGAGAACGACGTCGACGATGATGTTAATTAATGTAAAAGTAATAATTCACTCAAGTTTGATTTTTAATATTTTGGGCGAGGTATCTAAATCGAAGGCTGATTTCACACTGACGTAAATGCTGTCACTGTTAAAACGAATCAATAAGTGGAATCGAGTCACGAGAATCACAAGAAAATGAACATTTTGTACAGTGCGCATACGTCTCGTTGTTGATGACAAGATGGCGGTCGCCGTGAACGCCTCTGCCGTGAAAATTTGGAACTAAATTTAAAATTAAAAAATTCGTCGACATAAAATTCTCATTATTTTTGATTCTAAACATATTATCATTTTAATCCGGATAATGATAAACATAAAAACGTATAATTAAATAATTTAAGGTAATTATAAAAATAATCAAATTTTTAAGGTAAATAAATTTTTTATTAACATTAACTTGAGTATTATTGACATTTATTAATTTTATATTTTTTTAGATAACTTATGTAATAAAAAAAAGTACGTATGAATATATATACATATCATGTATCAAATACATATCTATAATCTATAAATTATGAAATGAAAATAAAATATATTTATTAAAAATAAATAAACTATCTATCGTAACATAAAATTTTTTTACAAAAAGTTTTAGTCTTAAAAAATAAACACCAAGATGTCATTTGATATTTAAAATTGAATAAAAAGAGACTCAATCTCTGAGATCTACCATATGTATGTGAAACAATCATTACCCCGTCTTCAACGGAGTTTTTTTTTTTTTTTCAAGGCGCAAAGTAAAGACTAAGGTAATTGTCGTTATTAGTGTTTGGAATTTCAGTTGATGTTCATCATCAAAATCACTTCTTCTTCGTAGCAGTAATAGATTTTTTCACTGGTTTTTTCGCTTTTGCTTTGATAACAGGTTTCTTCACCGCTGCAGCTTTTTTCGGTGGTGTTTTCGTAACAATCTTGGCTTTAGCTGTCGTTTTTGCCTTTGGTGGTTTCGCAGCAGGCCCTTTAGTAGCTTTTTTCTTCTCTTTATCAGCAGTGGCTTTGCTTGCTAAGGGTTTTTTCACTTCAGCCTTTTTAACTGGTTTCTTAGCAACAAGCTTCTTAACTCCAACAGCTTTCTTCAACGGTGCAGACTTAGAAGTAGGTTTTTTCTTGACTTTGCTCACTTCGGATTTACGTACCGAAAGCTTGAATGATCCAGCAGCACCTTTGCCTTTGGTCTGAACAAGATTACCGCTTTCAACAGCAGCTTTGAGATACTTTTTGATAAACGGAGCTTGTTTTTCCGCATCTATTTTGTAAGTTGTGGTAATATATTTTTTAATTGCCTGTAGCGATGATCCATTGCGATCTTGCAATACTTTAATGGCAGCATTCACCATGTCTGCAGTTCTAGGATGTGTTGGTTTTGATCTCGGTGATTTTGTTTTAGCTTGATTCGTCTTCTTCTGATTGACTTGAACGTTTGAATTGGCTGTTGGTGTCATGATTACTGGATTTGTTTTTGTATCAGTCATTGCCTGAATAAACTTTGCTGAAAATAAGCTTGTCTTCACTGAACTTTATAAAGTCACACGCGCAAGCTTTACTTCAATATTGTAGTCTGATGATGAAGCCCTCAAGTAAGTGAAGTAGTATCGGTGCGCGGACCGTGGAGAGAGGCCGCGACTACCTTGTGCGCTATTAAATGCCCGATAGTCCTTCATTGTGGTACCGATTCCTATAAACTTTACCTATTTTATCTAGTTCAACATCATTCCATTCATCTTCCAGCTATTTAAATACATCAATGAATATCTTGTGCTTTTATTGCAAATAAAAAGCAACTCTCAACTCGATAAAAATGATGAAAAAGTGCCTCAAGCTCCAAACACTCAAGTTCACAGCCAAGGCAATCACTATCAAGAATTCATCAAATTTAACAAGCTAGAGACAGTTTGGATGATTTATTACTTGTAATTGATACTAAATATTTGTATGCTTTTAATAATTACCCGAAATAATTGATTAAATATGTTTATTTAAAAATATGAGCTCTTTAACTAACAACTCTAGTGCATCTTTAAGCAGTAGCAAATGGTGAATATGTTCGCGTTTGAATTATATTATTATGAGTGGGAAATAAAATTTTTTGCAAAAATCATTTCTCTCGTACCGAGAACAGTTTATTTATTATATATCTAAATATTTTTTCAGAATCATTTCATGGCTTTTCATCAGCTAGAAAGACCTTTTCTATGGAATTCGCGGATTTTTAAGCGTTATTCAACCCACTCTGCCGGCATTGTCAACATCTGTTTATTTATTTTTTTTTACATTATATAAAAAAAAATAAATACAAATAAACAAAATAGAATTTCGTTAAAAATATAAACTGATATTTTAAATGAATAAAAAACCTCGTAGTAAAACAATTCCTATAATTAAAGTTTTTTATAAATTTTCTTCAAGACTATCTATTGTTTAAGAGTAAAATGATTTAATTTATTGTTTCAACAAATAAAAATTTTGTAATTATCTTATAGAATAATTTCTAAAACCAAATGGTTCGTCAGTAAATAAAATTTTCTTGTTTTCGAGTATTTTTTAAATCTCAACTAATGTTAGACCACTTTTTATTCCCATGTGTATCAAAAAATTAAATTATCAAACTATAGAAGAATAATAAACAGAGAAAACTTATTTAACAAAAAATTAGTCGTGCGAAAATAAATAAAATCATTTGAAATAATTGAAAGCTGTGTTAGCACAAAGGAAATTGCTTAGCTGTAATTATTTTTGATTTCATGATAAATACGATGAATTTAAAGTTAGTAGTTATGGAAAAAAAAGAAATTTTATGCATCAGATTGAAAAATATTACAAAATTATTCCAGCTCCATTGTTTTTTTTTTTTAAGTTAACATTGAAGCTAGATCATCAATCTACATGGAGAATGCATCTGACAAATAAATGTGGGGATAAAGTGTAGATTGTAGAGAGTGATTGCAAGTTTATAATAGGTGGGTATTGCAATCCTTTCTAATTCAAAGCACTGCTGCCACCATTCGCTGTAATTCTAAAGATTATGAAGCATATCGACTGTAGTACCCGCGAATCACTTTATTCATATTTGACTTGTGAACTGTTCACACGAATAAATGTGTCAAACAATAAATTAATACATTTTAAGACTGACAATTGATGTAAAAAAATTATCCATCAATAAAAATTAAATATTAATAATTCATTCATATTTGTATGCAGATAAAATTTTGTGCAGTTGTTTTTTCTGATGCTGTTGATCTGTTTTTAATTACAGTGATCAACTATGGGTGCTATTCAATCCAAAACTCCAAAAAATTGTTCTGGATCTTCATCTTTTGGTGCTGCTCCTTCGTAAGTTTTTAATTTATTCTTGACATTATTAATTTAACAATCAACATCAGTGCACAATCAAATCTAAACAATATGGATAGAAAACTATTATTTTTACAAAACTACCTTCACACATGCCTGTTATATATGCTTTCACATTTAGTCAATTAATAAAAATTATCTATTTATTGTGAAATTATTTCATACATATAGATTGTTCACGAATTTGTTAAGATTTTTAATAAAAAACATTACGTAGAACTAGAAAAATTTTTTACTAGTTATCAGGTGATTTAAGTGTCACAAAGTATTTTTGAAACATTATGTTATACTGATATTAAGAAATTGTTTAAAAATGTGTTAATGTTCAGTACAAAGGTTTTATTAAACACACATCATCACTGTTATTCCAAAAAGTCGTATATTGAAAAACATTGTTTCAGGAAACATAAAAAAAATTTTTTTATGTACTATAATTAAAGTCCAAAATTGTCATATATAATATTTATTATAATATAGCATTGTAAAACATGAAAGAACTAAAAAATTATTTTGTTCTAAATTTTTACAATTGCAAAACTTATTCTCAGTCAGTTTGAATGATTTGCAATTTTTCTAACCCCAAAAAAAATATTTTTTTAAATATTTAATTATAAACTGTTTCTTTAAAAATCTATGCAATTATAATTGATAAAAAATATTCCTGTATGGATATTTAAATATATTCGTAAGTGTAAAAATTAATTAGATGTACTATGTAATTTAAATATGTACACATAAAAAAAAAAGCAGCACGACTTTTTGGCATGACAGCGACAAAATACGTTTTATTTAAAAAACAAAGAACTAAACATAAAATGTTATACCAAGTACACCGGTTTATTTTTTACAAGCAACAAGATATTTATGTTATTATGTGAATACAACTGTAATTGAACGCGTGGTGATATACCGGTAAGTCAGCTGTTTATCAGCTGTTCTGAACTTTCATTTTCACGTTGTAAAATTCAAACCTCAAAATAAGAAAAAAGGGTAATTTATTGATTTTGCCTATAATCTTAATAATTTTAAAAGTTTTTCTATCACATTGAAAACATCAACGCATGAGCAGATAAAAACAATAACAATGAAAACGAAAAGCATTGACTACGTCCATTGTATCAATGATAAATGCTGAATCAGACCAGTTGAACTTCGTTCATTGAGGGAGACATTATTCACTGATATTTTTAATTTGTTTCCTCTCCTTTATAGACAACAGTATATTAATTAGCCATTTCAAGATATTGTAAACATATTCAGAATCATGTTCTTTGATAAAACACTATCATTTAGTATTAAAACCCAGTGTCTTCCGTTATTTAAATCTAAAATAAATGCTTGGACGAGTACTTTTGCACGTAACCTTGACTTTTCGATGTTGGAACGTAATCAGATATTTCAAGCTAGGTATTTAAACAATCATTATTTTTTTTCAATCATCTGATACCCTTTTTAGTTCTAAAATGATTTTCTTCAACAATATTTGCAGTGTTTGTGCTGCTTGATTGTTTATGTTATCATTCTTCATTATGATTTCATCAATACATAGTTAATTAATTATTTTTCATCTTTTGTTTCTTTCTTGCTAATGAAATATTTAATGGCTAGGGATAAAATGTTTATTCATTGTTTTTGCTTATCGTGATTATTGCTAATATACCAACCAGTCATGGATACCTTTTATGTGTGGTTGAGAATAATTATCTTCCATTATATAATTAAATATTTTTTTGGTAACAAAGTCTGTGGTTTCAAATAACAATCAAAATGACACAGCTATAATAAAATCGTGTCTTTATCTTGAGGAAAATAATTTCAAGCAGATAATATCAAAAAATTAATTTTTTAACAAATATTGCATGATTATTCTTAAAAATATTTTTAATAATAAAATGATAGATAAATAAATGAATAAAAATAATAAGAATTTAATGTGCAAGACTCGTTGATATTAGAAAAAAAATTCGGGCTATAACTTACAGGTTTTATTGCATCAGAAAATTCCAAATATTTTCCATCATCATTCTTTCTCCAATAATATATAAAATGACTTCAAATTACGTTGAATCGTAGGTACGTCACGCATGCGCTCCACAATAGTTTAAATACACATACAAGTTCAGTACGTCATGTACATATAGGTATACAATATCATTATATTAGTTTACCGTCAAACGATTCATTCTCCCCACCATTCCTTCTTAAACGAACAGCACGTCGAGCAATTTGACGAACAGGAGTTTCGGTGAGTCGTTGAGACTTCACTTCCAAGTGTTCATTTATTGCGTTTGGCTCTTTCAGGGTCCGAAATATAAGCAACTGTGAGAAAAATTCCAAACGAGATCCTCAACAACTTGAAAACATAGTTCAACCTTCAAATAATACAATGTCAAGTTTCGAAAGAGATCAGCTAGGACAACGAGGACCTGGTGATGGCATTTCAGTCAATAATGTTCGAGGTTTAGATCATCTTCGAAATCCTCAATTAAATAAAGTGAGTAATGTTTTCAATATTTTCTATTTCATTTACTCATCGATATGTCAACAATTATAACTCAGACGTGTAAATTATTTGGGGAGATGCAACAAGTGATTTTACGATATAGCTTAATAAACTTAATTGCATTTGGAATAAATTAAATTATTTTTTTTTTATGTATTATCAATAATTTTTCTGAAATTTGTTGACATGTTTCAAGTTATCATTATCGTAATACATTTGAAAATTGCTGTGTAATGTAAAAAATGCATATAATAAGTGAGGTCATGAGCATTCGAAGTGAGTTTGTATTTTCTCATTTAAAATTTAATTTATAGACAAAGTGAAAAGTATTAAACCAGACAAATTGTATTTACAATACATTGCTCATGATTTTTTTATTATTAAGCTCAGTGTAACCTTGACAGAAATATATTTCTATGTTGCGTCATGTAGAAAAAAAGTTGCAATCGATTTAATAATTAAATTATTGTAAAAATTTTATGAATGAAGATTGATCTATAGATTAGATATAGATAAGATTAATAAATCAGTCATAAAATCTACAGGAATCATGATGATGGTACTAATTTTTTTTCATATTCTTTCAGCTATTAAAGTATCACCATTCCATTTGATAATTCTGATATAAATTCATAATTAATATTTTAATCAATAAAAAACAGAAAAATATTAACGATTAAATTATTAATAATAATTTTGTGGTTATTAAACCACATATGGAAAGCATATTTAATCATCGGGATATCCTGTATTCTGGCTAAATTCACACAAAAGTTCATACAACTCATTGTAATTTATTCATTTTTTCACATAAAATTTATTTAGTTAATTTACGTAAACGGATAATGACATTAAAAAATGTATATTACATTATCTTTGAACAATCAATGAAAATTTCTTGATATTCATTGATTAACCTTATCAGTCAAAGATCAAAAGAAAGACAACAGCTTGAATAAAAAATAATGAAATTGCATACATTTAGGATGTCTGCTGAATTTGTTTAAATAACCCATTATGCAATAATATTTGTATTCGTGTGCATTTAATTATGATTATTAATATTTAAATAATTCATTTATTTATAGAAACACAAAGTGTAGCACTGTACTGAGTCAAGTGTTGAGACTATCGATCGCTTGAATTTTCTCTCTCATAAAGTTTAAGTACATAGAGTAACACTAAGGCAACGGTATCCACGGACGCTTATAAATGCATTGTACGAGGTTTAGGGGGAGTTTTACATCAGGGTTGTTAAGATTCCATGAAGCACAGTTCAAAGAGTTGTATGGATAGTGAACATGGAGAAAGATTGGTGGACTCTAGTGTCCAAAGAGCATTTGTGGATTGGTATACCTGAGGCTCTTTTTTCTATCGATGGAAGGGTATTTTTCTTATCTTGATTCACAAATACTTTTCGAATATTTTCTTTGCTTCCTTTTAAAGTAATATAAAAATTTCTAACTCAGTCTTCTGGCACAAACTACAGGCTATAAACTTGAAGCATTGATTATCCAATGTTCAATAAAAATCATTTCTTATCATGATAAACTTGTTTTTCAATTTTTTACTTTTAATAGCAAAATTAAATTTTATTAGATTCTTAGGAAAAACAATTTTTTAATTGAATTGGTAATATAAATTAGAATGAATAAAAAATTGATCCAATCCTTTATGCAAATAATTTTTTGGATTATTTTATAGCACATATGAGAATTTATTTTATACTTATATATTTTATGTCAAGATAAGATATAAAACTGTGGTTTTTCATGAAGGGAGTTAAAAAGAAAGTTTATAGCTGGTAGATGAATAAAATGAACGTAAATAATCTGTTAATTTCTTGTAATTTCTTTAAACATTTCCGACTATTTAAATTTCATTTCTGCTATTTAAATAATATATTGAGGTCGTTTACACCGGATCTGAGTGAAGGGTCTTAATCGATTAAATGTAGTACCAACTACCACTTTGACTATATTTACTGATCTGACTCTCCAGTGGAAAAGTACCAAATTTTTTTAAGACTTCTACTGTATTCTATTCTTTTTTTATTTCTGTTTGTTGAATAAACCAATCTTGTAGGAAGATAAAAAAACATTTATTGATGATGTCAAGCTTCAATAATCCAAAGTTCATGTTAAATTAAAATTTTTAAATTACCTAATAATGAAAAAAAAATGTCATTAACTTTTTTTTACATTTCGAGATCATTGCATAGCAAATTATCATTTATTACAGAGATTAAGCTAAGTGAAAGTGAAGGCTCTGAAGCGTAAAAACAATTACATAGACTTTTCGAATGATTTCAATCTTTATAATGTAACTAACAATATTTTACTAATTATAATTAAAGAAAAAAAAGAGTCAATCTCAAAAAGATCAGTAAAACTATTTCACTTTCTCTAAATAATCATTTTTTTTTTGCTAACGATAAATACTATTATATGGTGTGCTTAGATTTAACACTTGAGTGAGAACACATGATTAAATTACTTTTTGTCATCTCTAATGAATGCACAAGGTCGCACTGGTATATGACATGATAAAAAAGATTTCTAACCCAATGATTTCACTATTAATTACTCGAGCTTATCTCTTTCACACCATATTCCACAAATTTTTGTGTAATTAATTTATTCAAATAAATATGTTTTAATTGTTTCTATAAAAGAACTTAAAAAATTATTTCTTTTCTTGAGACTCATTGAACAAAGAAAAAATCTTTTGTTTATCATTTTTTTACATAAATTAGATTATTTAAACCTTGAACTGATTTAAAAAACAAGGATGTACCTTTCAAAAAGGCCTGAGGTTATTAATGCAAGTTATCAATCAAAATCAGCAATAATTGTGTTTTTCGAATGCATATAAGATAAAAGATTTTTTTTATTTGCTATTAAAGATAATATATTTATAAATTAAATGCTAAAAGATACAAATAAAGTTGTATAATATGTCTATATTCACATATTAAAAAGCAAGTTGGAACGAGGTCATTTAAATGGTCTATGTCTAAGTTGTAATCAGTGTCAGGGGAATAATTTTTAAAAACATTCATTTTTAATGAGTTGGAACAGTACTGTCATTTGAAAATGATAAAATAATGTTGGTTTTAATGATTTTATTTTTGTAGTGATTTTTAATTTTAATATATTATTAATTTTTTTTATAAGTCATAACTTTTAATTAGTCAATGGAAGATTTTTAGCGTATCATGTTTTCACTTTATTTTTTTTTTTCTAGGGAATGGCTTTCAGTATTGAAGAGAGACAGATACTGGGAATTCATGGGCTTCTTCCAGCAGCGGTAAAAACTCAGGAGGAGCAGTTGGAACTGTGCCGGCTAAATTTGGACAGATACACAGATGACCTCACCAAGTACATCTACCTCACGAGCTTACTCGTTTGTACCCTTCTTTCCTCTTGATCCTCACTCTTGACTTACGACTGAGTGATTTAGCCACACCCTTTACTTAATAACGTCCTTATTGAGTGCAAAATGTTAATAAAACAGGATAGGAATGAGAGACTCTTCTATCGGTTGCTTGGTGAGAACGTGGAGAAGATGATGCCGTTGGTCTATACTCCAACAGTTGGTCTGGCTTGTCAAAAGTTTGGTTTCATCTACCGGAGACCAAGAGGTCTTTTTATCAGCATCCACGATAAAGGTCACGTTTACGATGTCATTAAAAATTGGCCAGAACATGATGTTCGAGCGGTTGTTGTAACTGATGGCGAAAGAATCTTGGGACTTGGAGATCTCGGTGCTAATGGGATGGGTATTCCTATTGGAAAACTATCTTTATATACAGCACTTGCGGGTATTAAACCTCATCAATGTCTTCCAATAACTCTCGATGTTGGAACTAACACCCAGTCGCTGCTCGATGATCCTCTATACATCGGCCACAGACATAAAAGAGTTACTGGTGCTGAATATGATGAGTTTATAGATGAATTTATGAACGCTATTGTTAGAAGATACGGTCAAAATACTTTAATTCAATTTGAAGATTTCGGAAACAAAAATGCTTTTAGACTGTTGCAGAAGTATAGAGATCATTACTGTACTTTTAATGATGACATTCAAGGTACTGCTTCTGTAGCAGTTGCTGGTTTATTAGCATCCTTGAGAATTACAAAGACTCGATTGTCAGATAATACAATAGTATTTCAAGGTGCTGGAGAGGTAATTAAAATAAAAGTTTCATAAATACCTGTAATTCTTAATTACAATATTTTATTTTTAATTTTTATTTTCTCATTTTAATAGGCTGCTCTCGGAATTGCTGGCCTTTGTGTGATGGCAATGATGAAAGAAGGAACTTCCGAAAAAGATGCTATAAATAAAATTTGGATGGTAGATTCTAAAGGTTTAATAGTGAAAAATCGTCCATCTGGAGGAATTACAGAGCATAAAGAGCCATTCGCAAGAGACCATGCACCCATTGATACTCTTGTTGAAGTTGTAAAAACTGTAAAACCTACTGTTTTAATTGGTGCTGCTGCTATTGGTGGTGCTTTTACGAAAGAAATTCTTGAAGCAATGGGACAGTTTAATGAAAGGCCAGTTATCTTTGCCCTTAGTAATCCAACTAGCAAAGCTGAGTGTACTGCTGAGGAAGCTTATACTGCAACAGATGTACGTGAATGATTAATTATTATTTAAATCAAATAAGTATCATCAACTTCATTCTTTAATAATCTATTCTTTTATTACTTAGGGACGATGTATATTCGCAAGTGGTTCACCTTTTGATCCAGTAACTTATAAAGGAAAAACATATCATCCAGGACAAGGAAATAATAGTTACATATTCCCAGGAATTGCTTTAGGTGCTATATGTGCTGGAATGCGTGTAATTCCTGAAGAGACTTTCTTAGTAGCTGCAAATGCACTTGCTGATATTGTTACAAAAGAGGATTTAGATTCTGGAAATCTTTATCCTCCACTTAATGACATTCGAAAGTGTTCACTTGAAATTTCAGTTAAAGTCATGAACTACGCATTTAAACAAGGTAAATTAATTATTCTATCTATTCAATTTATATTTTTTCTGATTGATTATTATTTATTTTTATTATTAACAATTCGAAATAATTTTAGGACTAGCAACGGTTTATCCAGAACCAACAAATTATGAAGAATTTATTAAAGACCAATTATACGATACAAACTATAAATCTGCATTACCTGTTACGTATTCATGGCCTAAACTTTAAAATTAATATCGCAGGATGCAAAATAGTGGCAAGAGTAATTACGAATAAAGATTTTAATACAAATTATATGAAATTGTGTGATTTTATAAATTGAAATCAAATCAGCATGTGAAAATTTAACAAATATTTTAAAAACATCGAAATTAAAAGTAAATCAAAGTGATAATTTTGTGTAATATCTTAATTCATCTGAATGTATATGTAAATGATAAAATTAAACTTTCACAAAAACACGTGTGGAGTTTTTAAAAATTCTATTACCTTATCAAGAAATGATTAACACAAAATTCTGATTAGAGTAGATAAAAATTCACACTTTTATAAAAAATTTATTAAAAGCTGCGAGCTATGAACAAATAAGTATTAACTTTTATACAAAACATTTATATCATTATAAACAGCAAAAAATTAATTATCGTAATTTATATTTATATAATTATATTTAAAATAAAATATATTTAAGCACTTCTCTTATTGACCATCACTCACTGTGTTCAGCTGCTCGACGTAGCAAAACATAAATTTTTTCTTTTATCCAGTCTTTATTGTAGGGTGCATAAGTATTCGTTGATTTTTGGTAAACTAAACACGATAAGTCCGTTAATTGATCAATGAAATCGAATAATTGACTAATGTCATAAGTTATTGTAGGAGTGTTTGGATTTCTTCTTTTCAAGTGTTCTTCATATATTTTTCGTACACCTAGAGATATAAAGAATCAGATATGAATATTGTATAATACAATCTTTAATAAAAAGCTTATTTTTTATAATATGTTATTAATATCTAAAAATATAATCAAATAAAAAATTATAAAAATATATAAATACCTTCTAGACATTCATTTACACTTTCATAGTCTGAATATGTTCGTGTTTCTGGTCTGTTTCCTGGTTGTACTAATAATATTGTATGTGACTAAAAAGTTAATGTAGAAAATATAATTAATACAAAGAATAAAGATTAAAAATTTTCTCGATCTTTCGATTACTGATTTTTTGAAAAACACTTACCATTTTTTTCTACAAAACTTTTTTCAAAATTTCTTGTGATATATCTTTTATCTTATAAGTTACTGTACTCAGTATTTTTATGTAAATTTTGATTGAATATTGTCTAACCATTAAAAATTTGATTAAATATTGTCACGTATGAAAAATTTACATTTAGTTTACAGTAATTATCACAATATTATGAGGATCAACTATTGGATATTTATTTTTTCGAGAGAAATCGACAAACATAAATTTACTATAGTTTTTTTGTGATCAAAAAAATATAGATGGCGTCATAACTTAACTCATTTTGCCGCGAAAATACGAAAATGAACTGCAGTACTGCGAAATAAACCACCAGTTATTTTGTATACTTAATGTCAGCTATTGATTTTTAGATAATTAGCAATTTTGAAAAATTAAATTCTCTGCAGTTGATATATAATTAGGCTTCATATTTATATTTTTATAAAAAATTTATTAAAAGTAAGCTGTGGGTTATGAACAGATAAGTATTAATTTTTATACAGCAATGTGTAGATTATTATCATTATTATTGTTATTAATTATAAACAGCAAAAAATTAATTATGATATTTTGTATTTGAATAATTATACTTAAAATAAAATATATTTAAGCACTTTTTACATTAATCATCACTCACTCTGTTCAGCTGCTCGACGCAGTAAAACATATATTTTTTCTTTTATCCAGTCTTTATTGTAGGGTGCATAAGTATTCGTTGATTTTTGGTAAACTAGACATGATAAGTCTGTTAATTGATCAATAAAATCAAACAATTGACTGATGTCGTATCTGATCTTAGGAGTATTTGGATTTCTTCTTTTCAAGTGTTCTTCATATATTTTACATACACCTGGAACAATAAATATATTTATGATATGTTATTAATAGATAAAAATATTATGAAAAAATTTTGAATAGCATGTATATACCTTCTAGACATTCGTTTACACTTTCATAGTCTGAATATGTTCGTGTTTCTGGTCTGTTTCCTGGTTGTACTAACAATATTGTATGAGACTATGAAATAAATATGAAGATTACCATCAATAAAAACAATAAACATTGAAGAATTTTGTATATCTTTTGATTGTAAATATAAATCCTACCATCTTTACTGCCAAAAATTTTTCAAAACCTTTTTCGAAAAAGATATATTCTATGAGTTAATGATTTTTTTTACCGTTGTCGCTTTTTTTTTATAATAGTTACTATTTAATCATTGAGAGATTAATCAAACTACACCGTGTATTAAACACTTTAATAAAATAGTTGTAATGTTATGAAAATTATAACTTGTAAATTGAGTATTTATTTTTAGTATGGAGCAATCCCGACACAAAATTACTATAGTTCCGTTCTTCAGCGACTATCCCGACATCTATAATTCTTAATAAAATGAATTCAAATATGTACAAATAATAATAATAATTATATTTTGCATACAAATAATAAAAAAAAATGACATTAAAAATAAATCAATAAAGTCAAAAATACTAACGATTAATACTTACATAACAACAAAATATGTTTGTCTGAAAATGAAGTTACGTGAAAAATTGTCATGCATTTTTTGCTCTTTAACTATCATTAGGATCATTGTATATTAGTAAAAGTAAAGAAAAACGTAACACTTTAATTAAAAAACCTTGACACTGTATTTAATACTTTATCTTAATTTAATAGAAGAACATTAGAAACAATTACAACTTTAAGTAAGATACACTCGATGTCTTCGTACGCTACTACAATTGTTATGTATTTACAAGTAACAATAATTAAAATAAAATACAATTTTATTCGTCATGTATAGCGTACAAATATCATTCTATTTTTATGCATTTCTAAAGATATTTATCGAAAAAAGTGATGTCAAAGGAAACAAATCTTATTATTAATACAAGATAATGAAATAATCGTATAGTGTACGAAAATTCACTTAATTTACTTATTCGATTTCTTTTTTTTTTTTAACGTCTTTTCCAGATAAAATCATTCATTCATATTTTTTTCATCAACTATTTTAGACTATGATTAATTAATACAGCGAATAAACAAATGGCTCAAGGAAAAAACACTTTAGTGTTAATAGTTTTCTGTAAAATACATTTATTTGCTCACGACTTTATATTTCATCTAAATTATTCGAATGTTATATTGATTTCAAAGTTATATGTGAATGATCATTATCAATTCATTCATATAAATTTTATCACGTTGTCGCGAGGTAATGCCATTTTTTCTGGTTTTGAATTTATTTTTTATGCCTTTCTTAATAGATCATCTTACAACAAAATGTATTCTAGTCTCACTCTCACGATATTAATCAACAGATTAATTAATTACTTAATTTATGAATATCTTTTATTTATTTCTTTTCTTTTCATTTTTTTCTCCTCGATTTTAAAACGCATAACCGCCATAATATTACTCATGATAAAATAATTATGGGACAAAACGTACAAAGGTATTATAAAATGTTTACTGATATTTCATGTTTTTCTTATTTTAGAGTAAACACTTTATATACAATCCCATGCTGTTCAGGCACATCATTTGTGTTCATTGTTTATTATCAGCGTATTCAAGTAATCAACTTGTCTTAACAGAACCTTTCCAAAAATTTCAATGTATAAAAACAAAATAAGTTGTATCCAAAATGTCGTAAAAGATGTGTCTAAACAGCTACGACTTTTGTCCCAATCCTAGTTTCATCGTGAGAGCGAATGTGATCGTTCATGTGTCTGTTGAGCATCACTGCCGGCTTTCGCGTCTGTTAGTCGTTGCGAAGCCGGCAATGCATCGAAAAACGGATGCTGTAGGGCATCTTTCAAAGTAATTCGATACGATGGTTCATATTCTAACATTCGCTGAATTAAATCAAATAATTGTCTGTGCTCTTCTTCTTCTGATAACATATAGCGCTAAAAAATAAATAAAGATTAAAATAATATTAAATTTGATTAGGAGTATTAAGATATATTTTCTTTAAGAAAAAAAAAATTATTAACTTACATGTAATGGCTTGCAATTATCCCTGACATATCTGCCAGCGGTACTTTTTTCATCCCATTCGAATTTTCCATAATAAAAGTATTTAGTTTTAGTTTTCCTAGCCATACGATGTGGAATTGGGCCTAAAATACGTTCCATCATTGCTAGGTGCTCACGATTATCATGAGTTTGAAACAGTGTAATGCCCAAATATAATTCAAATAGGATGCATCCAATCGACCATACATCGCACGGCTGTGACCATCCAAGTTCTGTAAAAAGGATAATAATAGATTCACTCTTGGACTTTATCCTCAACTAGTATCTAAGTCTTCAGCTAATAGACACTCGGAGAATGTTTAATACTTACCAAGAATAACTTCAGGTGCTCTGTAATGTCTTGTACTGACGATTGTACTGTGATGCTCGTGGTCGAAGGTCGCACTACCAAAATCTATGAGTCGAATATCCGTCCTTTTTACACGACGTACATCTCTTCTCTTAAATAAAAGATACTTTTTAAACAATTTATGCTTAAATTCGATAGCGAATAAATCGTTAATTTAATTATTATTATTAAGGAATAAAAATATATAATAAAATATTACTTATTTTTATTAATATATTTTTGGTAAATGAGCAATACCTTTTTCGTGTTGTATGTAACTTCAAAATCTGAATCAACAAAGAGAATATTTTCTGGCTTAAGATCTGTGTGTGTTAATTGATTATCATGTAAGAAGTTTACTGCATAACATAGCTGATATCCAATGTGTCTTACATGATCCAAGGGGTATGGTTGATAATTATTGTCTCTCTATAAAAAGAAACAAAGATATTAATATCATATTTAATTTCCTTTTTTTTGAAAAGAAAAAAATTGATTGATTTTTACTTACCAAGAAATCAAATACACTCAGTCCAAGCATCTCGAATGCAATACACATGTGTCCATGGTAATTAAACCAATCCAGCATCTTCACACATAAGCTGAAATAGTAAATATAGTTAATCGTTAAAAAAGTTTTCACTAAAATAAATATTTGGATAATAAAACTGAATAAAGTTATTGCAACACATTGAATAAGATTGAGTTACATTAAATGTAGATATAATTAGATATGCCAAAACTAATAATAAGGCATTGGTAGAACAATAAATGATGTTACTTACTGTTGACCATCTGGATCTTCTGAATCAATTTTCTCCAACGCAATAATTTCAAGTTTAGCAGCTTCTCTATATTTTTCAACATTTTTTATAATTTTCAAAGCCATTACGTGATCCCTAATGAAAGAAAAAAAAACAATTGATTAATAAATATAATGATAATTATTTCGATATTTTTCAATATTAGTTCTATATATCCATATTTTTAATGAATTAATCTAAATCTCGATGATGAAACCATCTTGAATCGTTAAACTGGTTCACTGTTTTAGGCACAAGGCCAGTCTCTAATTACAATTCCAATCTTTATCAACTAGTGACTATTTTCAAATCTTCAGATGTACATCACATAAGTTTCTCCAGTATTTTGCACATTATTTAAATTCCCCATTCTTGGATATTTTACCTATTAAATGCCCTTACAACTTACATTTGTAAATCCTTAACCTTGACAACTTTTCCAAAAGTACCTTCCCCCAGGGTGGCCAGTACTTTATCTGTAATTTAAGAGAATTAGATAAGTAAAAAGACATTATTAGACCTCGCGAGTGCATACTATATCATCTTGTTTATTAACTCTATTGTTATCAAGAAAAAAAGCAAAATAAAAGATAGGGAATGTTTAAAATAAAATATTGTAATTATTGTAAAATTAAAAAAAAATTTCACTATCCAATAGAGTTAAAAAAATGATTTCTGCTCTCGCTTGGTCGAGTTTTCAATCGTGCGCAGCAAAAATAGACGAAAAATAGCTGCTGATCGGCATAAGAATTTAATAATCGTCTCGAAATATTATTAATTTATTCTGACTTCTTGTCGATTCAACCGACGAGTACCCAAGATCATTAACATCATCTCTCTGCCATTACCATTATGAAGTTCGAATATTTAATCATCTTGTTAATTATTCGAAAAATTAAAAAAATTCATAACTCTTTCAGAGTGTCATTGATTGAAAAAATAATGTATCTTTTGTTAATAATGACAAAAAGAGAATGTTGATAAGAATAGCACATCATCTAGGCATTTCAATAGAATAATAAATAAATTTTTTTCAGACTTTACAAAATAATTATTATGTATGAGAAATTGAAAATGATTGTTCAAATAATTTCACGTGTGAAAATTTATATTGTTTACTGTATTTAAATTGAAACGAAATGCCAGAACAATGTATCGATCGCGTTATTATACTACTTGTTGTCGCGACAATCCAGTGAGACAATTGTCGATATCTGAAAAAGATGGGTTGAAAAAGTATGGGTTGATAAAGTATACAATTAAATTCCATGGGTTCCCGATTACTACATCTCAATACTTTATCAAATATAATAATTAATATCTTCAAATATACATACAAATATATATGTATATATTTTACAAATATCTACACATATAGAGAAGTAATTTTGTGATAAAAGTATCATTTCGACTCGTTTTATAATTAATTGTTGTAAAACTAAAAAAATTAATAAAAAATATAATAAAATTACATTCGAATTAATCAACTAAGAATGAGTATAAAGAAGTAACCCGAAAGAAAATAAAAAAAATAAAGAGAGAATATTAAAAAACAAAAAACCGAAGAAATGATCGAGCCAATCGATCAGCATAAATGTTCTTAAATCTACTACAATGAGTGTATTCACGTATTAACGAACATCTATTTGCCAGGACGTCGCCAGAATGGTAAACAAGGTGGCCGTCTTCATCGTCCTCAACGGAAGGCGGTCGTGGGCTCTATTGTCGGTGCAAATGCATCGGCGATAACAAGACAGATGTTCGGCCAATGGGTTACCGGTGTTGCGTAGCCCCGGTTATTGTTACCAAGGTACATTGCCAATAGTTCCAATTCCACATAGTGCGTTGCGTCGTAGTCAGGATCCAGGCCAGGTACAAGTGATTTCCATGGTTGATGAGCCCCATACATCATTGCAGTCACACCATGTAGATGGTTGTTGTGGTTGTTGATGAGCACGTGTTATCGCGTCGTTGAGTTGTAGTGTGTGTACCGAACCGAGATTTCATCGTCATCGCACGTGAGGGGAAGTAGGTTGTTGGTTCCAATCACGGTCATCATCCACACCGACCCCATCATCACCATCCCGACCGGCCGAGAGGAGATGTGGTCCCACCAGTGTGTCGATCCACGACCATTCCATGACCATTCCATTACAACGGAGATGTAACCCAACAATCAGAGAGAAAGGGGAGAGGGCAAAATAGTTTGCCAAGTCAAAAAGGTGCGGTTACGAAATTTACCAATCGGCACAAAGCGCTTTTTTAATTATTACTATTAGTATTATATTAACCTCTAATACTATCTCTTACGTTACACTATTATAATATCTTTTTTTTCTTTTATTGTACAACAAGTTTATTTAACTTTTCTGAAGCAGTTTATGTCTTAATTAATTTTATTGACTTTTTTTTTTAAAACAAGAATTTTTAAAAGTAACTTTAATTTTAGATTTTAATTTCTATCTACTTTAAAAATTAATATGATTTTCAGAAAAAATAAAAAAGTAAGATAATTGGATCAATAAACAATTTAAAGTAATAAAATAAATTATAAGTAATTAAATTTAAGCAATTTTAATGTATCATGAACAACAAAGAAAAAATACTGCTTCAATGTATTGTTTTAATATTTTTATAATTATTACTTTTTTTTTTTATTAAAAAAACTTTAGTGATTTTTTTTCTCTCAATTTTTTCAAAGTCAATTGTTGAAATAAACTAGTAGTACTTACGTATTTATTTTAACGTTTAACGTGTCGCATTAGTTTATAATAACACATCACGTCAACGTTTTACCACAATAATGCCAAACAAGATGATCATTTTAGTAATTAATTATGATTATTTTCATTATACATTACAATTCTTGACTGACCAACACTTGTCATAGATTTTTAAAATAATTTATAAACACTTCTTTATTTATATCATTATATTCAATCAAGAATTTTAAGTATAAATTATTAACCAATCACAGATGAATTTTTATTTACAACACTAGTATAAAAACGTATATCGTGTTATTACGTAAGAAATGTGTTGAAAAATAGATTCACCGGTGATCAGAGAGTTGTGTGTAAGATCCAAACCACACGAATCTTTGACCGAGCTCTCACAAATATCAAACACCGTGCAAAGACTATTGACTAATGTCTTCTTTTAACTTATGAAACAAAACAGAAAAAAAAAAAAAACTAAAATTAGTTCGTTTCTCAATTATAAATAAGATTGATTAAATTAATGAATGATTTACAATATTAGTCAGTCTGTCTTAAGTCAAAAATTTTCGGATTTAAGCTCAAGAGATAAGGAACTAGGAATAATGACAAAAATAAATATTGATGTACATAAAAAAAAAAATAGAATTAGACACAAGAATAAGAGAAACTGTAGAATCAAACACTTTTTGTTTAATGAATTTTTATGAGCGGCAACACTATCACGCACTTCGACAACTTACAATCGCGTTTGAATCAATTGCTTTGGATCCCGCTTTAGAGAAATTTATTTTTCCTGCATTCTTCTGGTACTTGTAAGCAATTATTTCAGCAGCAGATGGTTTAACATCAACATTAGCACCAGAATTTCCATAAGCTTCTTCGATAGTTGAATACTTTTCAATAAGTGTTTGAATTTCTTTTCGTTTAGTTGCTCTTTCAGTAACAATAGGATCTTCTTCAATATCAACTGTTTTTTGTGGCAACGTTTTATCAAGTTCATTATTATTACTTGTTAATTCTTGAGATGTTTGCTTTTTTAATCTTGAAGTATCAATTTGTTCGCTTTTTCCACTACGATTAGGTCTAACTTTACGACTTTTTACTTCATTCTGTCCTGATTTATGTCTTCCATATCTTCTATAATTTTCTGAATTAGTAGTGGAACCTTTGCTGTCTTTACGTCCTGGAGTTTTTTCTCTCCTTGAAGTACTTACATATGGATATGCTTTTTCGCTTAATAAAAAACTAGTTGTAGCACTTTTAACAATGGAACGAGGTAACGAAGGCTCTAGTGTTTTTTCTTCTCTATTAAACGGACTATTTTTGTTGCTTAAAGATAAATGAGCTTCTTGACGCTTTTTATAATTATTTAAAGACTCTTCGTCACGTTTTTTTGTATACCTCTCAAGAATTGAAGCGTATTTATCCTCAAGACGATTTCTTGTTGCTGCAAAGTTACTCCGACTGATAATCGGTGAAGTTCTGATAGGTTTTTCATTATTCATAGAAGGAAGTCTAACTCTGGTTGTTAGACGTTGCAAAAGATTTGAGCATGAATCACTTAATAATTGAGTTACACTATGAGTTGTTGATGATCTAGCATATCTATTTCGTCGTGTTGTTGTAACTCCTTGACGATTTGACGACATATTGTCGCGTGTTGCAAAAACAAACATTAATGAAGACTTATTGATACACTAAAAATTGGAGCACTTATTCTTTGTATACAGCAGGTGTTTTCATTTCTTTATGTTCATCATAAGCACTTAGCTTAAGGGCTGCATTATTTTTCAAATAATTGAATCTGATAGAAAAATACATAAGTCAGAAAGATTTTTATGAACCACGCACAGATGACTAAATGTCTTACTAATATCTTACACATACATGTAGTCGAAGACTAGGTGAACATTGATGACGATGAAGAACAGGGCAAAGCGTATGTCGCGCCAAATACTGTCGTACTAAAAATATCGGCAGAACGACCGTGCTCCAACGAATAATGCGTCCTCTCGCAACACACTCTTGAATCGACACTCGAAAAGAAAGAGGGGAAATTTAAAAAAGAAGATGAACAATCATTGAAAAATATTAAATAATTGTAGTAATGTTCAATCGATAATGTCAATTTAATTTTAACAATCACTTTTTTTTGTTTACTAATTAACAAAGTGTGTTATGATTTATATATATATATATATATTAAAAATCATCTATTTTCATCAAAGTGCGTATTCATAATTTTTAAATAGCTAAATATATTTCAATAAAATTTAATAGTGTCGAAAAATAAGAGATTCAATAGGAAAAACAGCGATAAATTGGTTGAAAAAAGAAAACAAACACGATTAACAAACTTCCACGATTATGACCACCAAACGAATGATTGGGAGTTAGAAGACTTTTCCAAGAGCTCAAATTATTGAAAAGCTGTGGGCAGTTTTCATGGACTTGCCATTTACTATTAATAATCTATCGAGTAAGTATATTTCAAGGTTGAAAAGTTTCCTCTTCGGCTTCTTAACAACTTGGAGTTGATGATTTTACCAAGATTTATAAAGAAACCGAGAAACTGAGTATAAATAATCAGTCGAGTGACAACAGCGTGAAGAACAGTTGAGGAGGTAAATTCCACGTAAATGACAAATTTTTTTTGTTTCGTCATTGTCAAGTGATGAATGAAGAAGAAGAATTGTCTGTTTAATGTCAAGTTGATTGTAATACATTGACATTGTAAATTGTGAAGGTAAGTAAAACATTGCAAATTTCTATAAATTGAATATTTACAATAAAATAAAATAATATAAACCTGAGTATTTTTAGATATCTTTTCTACCTTAAAGGTAGAAAAATCAGACTCTGATTTCACGTGGACTTTTTTTATCCAGCTATTCCAAAAATTTTGATTCTGTTGATGAATAACGATCACGTCATCTTGATTAAGACGCACAGCAGTACCTGGTGTCAACAATCCATTATTTTTACGCGCCATTGTTGTTAAGGCTGTTGACCGGTTAATCCTGAATCAACCACATTCAAGTCGTGGGTATTTTTCTTTTATAACATCTCTTTGTTATTTTTTTGATTTCCATCACTTAAATCACCATAAGATCACACTAAAATTAATTTTATATTCATTCCAAATTATAACCACAATTTTGTTCATTAATTCTTCTAATGTAGTATTTGTTTAAACTCAAATGAAATAATTTTGTCGTGTGTTATTGTCAAATTGTCTCGATAAATCCGTCCATCGTAACGGAATAAGGTCGCAAGCCAGTTGCTCACGATGTAGTCTGCACCGGCCATCTGGCTTTAGAAATTGTACTGAGAATCAGTTGTGGAAAATCAGGGTGTGACGACGGGGCCCACACCACGAAAATAGTCCTTAGACAAAAATAGCCGTGAAACTGTGATGAAGAAAAGAATCATCACAATCTTTACTCAGATTTGTGGTGTACCATAAATTCGTTCATATTCTGAATTTTTTCAATCGTTCAAGTGTAACTTTATTTTATTTTTATTTGAAAATAAAATAATTGATTTTTTTGTAGTATCAGATAATTTTTTTTCATCAATTCATAATTTTTCTCAATATTTACATCTTTTTCTTCTTTATTGTTTCTTCTTGCTCTTTATCGTTTACAATAAGGCATGCCTCTATTACTAACATGAAGATAGTGATAGCAATATTCCTCATCATTGTTTGAAAGTTGTCTGAAGTCCGTGAGAAAAGCTGCTTTAATACTACATTTTTAAATTACTTTTAAAAATAAATTAATCAATTTAATAAATCGTATAGTTTTTGTATAAAAATTTTGATCCAATTGAAATAGTCATCGAATAAATAATAGCAACAAAATATTGTAAGAGTCGTTTGTTCAAAAAATTCATCTTATCTAAATTTGAATTTTAAATATAATAATAAAATAAAAATAATCATAATAATAATAAATGATCATTTGTTGGTATATTGTTTGTCAGGCATCAACAATACAAAAAAATACAATGAAATAGACTAGATACTGACCTGGCTTCTAGATGGAGACTTGTGACGATGGCGAGACGATTCTTGACTTGCGGATGATGAGGCCCGGTGTCGGTGAGCTCTAGTTCGTCTCGCATCGCGTGATGTCAAACGGGTAGTATGTGTCTTATCACGATCACGACGTTCACGTTCGCGCAGTCTGACGCTTCGTGGAGAAAAAATAGCTGTATCTTTTGTATCATAATCTATATGATGACGACCACTACTCGGTGATCTTCTGTGACTACGTTTATAACGTCTCTCTTGGCTGGTTCCTCGTTCATGTTGACGAGATCTTAATACTCTTTCACCGCTGAAAAAACATAAAATAAATTAATTAAATATCATTAATTAAGATAAGATGAGAAGTTTTATTCATAACACACTGAAAGCTAGAATGAATAAGGATTGAGAGAATTAAAAATAGAATAATCCTAAAAGGTGAACGTAATGATAACTTCTATAAGTCAAGTACAAAATAAGAGCCTATTGTTCTCCTTGTTTGCAATAAGGACAAGGAAAAATAATATCTTAACTTCTGTTTAATTTATATAGTTTAGTTAAAGTACTGAAAGAATAGAATACTATATATATAAAATACTGTTATTAGTATTTATTAATATACAATACCTTAGCATCCAAGCAGAAGTAAAAAAAACGTACAGAACAGGCATCACCGATTTCTACTTTAATATTTAAATAAGAAATATTTTTATCATATCAAATTTATTCCTTTTTATCTTTGTGTCAATGTCATTGCAATTAATTGAGATGATTTGTAAAAAGTATACATGACAATAATAAGTAAAATGTATTTTATTATTAAGAGAAAAGAAACGCTTTCCCTTTACAAGTGAAATATTCACTTGAGTGAGCATGAAATTGTTCCGCGATAATAACTTGATGGAATTGTTGATGATATAGGAAGAATTAAAAAATAATTAACTAGAGAATAATCTTGAGAAATCCAAAACCAGTCAATGTTTAATAGAGATGGATTTGATTGATCAAGAAAACATGATGTCGTTTACTCAGATTTCGGTTCATGTTCACTTGTCCTCGATTTTATCTACAGCTGCAAGATATAGTCAAGATTAATGTTTTTATAATTCTTCTCCTTTATTAATTTTTTTCTTTGACATTTATTTCCAACAATCCGCTTGTCAACTACAAACTCATTTTAATACATATGTGATCAATGATTTATGATACTCATTTCTATTATAATGATGAAATTTCATTATAAATTTAATCAGAGCTGTTATTGTATACGTGAGAAGTATTCTCTTATATTTTTTCTTCTTCGTTTGATAACACAAGCTCGTTAATAATTTATAAGAAGTTAGAATTGTTTCTACAATTATTGACGTACTTATAACTATCTAAAAGAAAAGTTACTAATTTTAGATAAAAACTTTAATTGATTCTTTAACTTATTTTATAATTATTTCATTGACATAAAAAAATATTTAATCGATTAGAAAAATTAATTGGAAACTATTTAAGGATTAAAAATAGCATATGCACTTGAATACTAACAGAGTAACCTTCATATTATGATTTCTTTTAATTTAACATTTATTCAAGATCTAACTTGGTGTTTCCGGCTACTTCCAAAATTAGATAGTTGACGGTCAATTACTTTACTTAAAGAATTTTTATCATTTGTCATCAAGTTGTAAAAAAATTTTTCATGGTTGAATAGTCAGTTAAATTAATTCAATAATTGATACATTCAAGATAAATGAAAATAATACATAAATTCAGAAAAGTTATGAATAAAAATTTTCTCATCAATTATTATCAACTATTTTCATTATATTTATATAGATTATATCAGTATAGGCAATGCGCGTGAACTACAGATGGCACTAGAAATTATATGAAAATGGAAACTTTTACATAACTAAGATATATATTATGAAAATGAAGTAAACAAAAAAATGATAAGAATAAAAGAATCGCGTTTGAATAGAATAGAAATGAATGACAAAAAATTACATATCATCGTGAATTAATTTTATATAATAACAATGACACAATTTTGTTAACTTGAGATAAAAATTAATAAACTTCATATTGAACTTAAAATGAACTTTTTCTTATTGAACATTACCAATTTTCAATCATTGATCACTACTGTATTATTATTAAATGTATTATATTTTTACAAAAATTTTTGTACCAAGATTTTATTGAATGAAATGAAAAAAAAATATTTAAATAAGCTACAAAGCTCCATAAACGAATATTATTTTATTAAAAAGATATTTTTACCGAACAAAATTTCAAATGTAATGAAGTCAATTGAACGCTAACACTAGATGAAAACCGAGAGTTAATAAATGTTACTCTCGTTAACTCAAGCGCTCCGTTAAAACTGATGGACATTCATTGAATATAACATGAGGAATATCGCGCGAGACTTATGGAAGGGGAGATTAGGAGAAACAGCATTGGTCTTTTAACTGATACCATTAGTAACAATCCGGAAGTTGAATTGTCATGACCAACGTCAAAGTCTAAGTAATTTGAGAAAAGGAAATAATTTTCTTGAAACAAGAAATATTCTTCCCACTCGACAAAGATCTGGATTCTTGGCTAATCAACAAGGCTAAAGTAGAGGCGTTGAGTGAAGAATAATTACAATTGCATTAGGCTTATTATTTTATATAAAAAAAAAAAAATTAAAAAATTCCAATGTATTGTATTGCTTACCTATAAGTACCCTTGCTCTGGGGACTCTCGTAATCCATACGCCTACGCTTATGCTCGTACTTCGGTGATCCTGCTGAATGAGAATGGGACCTCGAATGACTCCGAGAGCGATGACGCCTCCGGTTTCTCGGCATCTAAAAAATTTTATTACATCAATATAATATTAACAATAATTTATTTGGATCAGAGATTTTTCTCAACTAATTGAGAAAAAAATTATTGAATACTTTAGTACTTTATCGAGGATATAAATGAGAAAGACAATTTATAAAATGATGAAAAATGTCATAAAGTCTAGAATTGTCAGTAGATTGCGAGTTATGCTAAGAAATAGACTTAATAATGGCATGAAAATAATTATGAAATAATTGTTGATGGATACAGGAAATAACAGAGAACGCTATAATAAAATGGAGAGTACAGCACTTTAGATGTTTTTTTTTATTTTTAAGTAGACCCAAATTTCGTTCGACGTTGAATAACCCGTACTTACATTCGAAAGTTTAAATATGCTTGCTTGACCCCAAATGTAATCGAAGATGAATGAAATCCACGACCGTAAAGATGATGCTCGAGGTATAATACTTTTTTCCAGCAATGAAGAGGACATTGGCTAAAAAAACTGTGAAAATGTCGCTATTGACTATTTTTTTTTAACTTCAGATAATTAGAAATTAATCAATAAAACTGCCAGCATTTCGAAATAATTTGATGAAAAAAAATGAAGTAACGCTAAGTGCAGTTAAAATGTTTAAGAAGATCGATGAAAAGCACCATTATTCCAACCTTGAATAAAAAATGAACCATCCAGTGAGGTGGTTCTACTGAAGATCAAATAGACCTGAATAACCGTTGGAAGTTGTTGATAACAAGCACTAAATACCAACAAAATACACTAATAATTAAATTTTTAAAAATAAACTCAATTTTTTGTTCAAAAATGTCGTTTTATGTACGCCATAAGGCAATACAGTTCAGTCGTAGCCATCTTGGAAAATATACAAAGTATAGACATATTAGTAAAGGTATTGAATAGAAAACGAATAAGAGTAAAAGGGAGAGAAGAACGCACGCGCGTGTTAACACGACATTAATGCCTTACGGAATCTTCTAAAGTACAAGGAAGGAAACGCCAAGTTTTCATAAATTGTCTCATCTATTAATGATTTTGTTAATTTAAATATAAACTAATGTCATAATACTCACGTTCCAAGGATATAAGAAAGTCACTTGGTCCCAAAGATAATTAAAAAAATACGATATCCAAGAGCACGAAAATACAGAACGCAAAACACTTTTGTGTGTCAACGACGTGGACATTGGATCAATGCGATTGGTTTGTTCGTTCATTGTCGGCTGAAGTCGTTATAACTCGAATTTCATCCGATTATCTACGAAGGTTGACGAAGTTTTCCCGGTAAAATAACGAAAATGGCGGGAAAGTCAAAACAAAAAAATTGTTCTTACCGTACACGTGCTTGATGCAAAGGTGAAATAAAATTATATATATTATTATCAAATAAGTAATAATTTATAAATAGAAATTGAATAATAATCTTGAGTAAAAAATTATTCAAGGATTTTATTATCAGTAAAATTATAGAGTCAAGTTATGATCAAGAAGTTTTGAAGTAAAAAATAATTGATATGTAAATTAATTTTATTAATAAATCTCTAAATAGATTGAAATAGAAATTGATACGCCATTTTGATTTGATTATACTAATGAATACTAACAAAATAATTGATGGTATAGAAGTATTATTCTGTGATATATTATTTATTTAATGTACTGACATTAGAAGGTAGATGTTAAGATTCGTTTAGTTACCATACATCAAACGTGAGTATTTCATGTTTTTTTACCTTATGAAAAGTCTCAACGACTTGATAGATTGTCATTTGTAATTATTACAATTTAATAAAGAAGCAAAAAATTTGTTTACCTGTGTTGAAAGGCAGAATTCGTAAATTTTATTGAATGTCACATAGAAATAGTGGAAAAAATCACGAAACATGTCGTCTATACATATGTATATGATTATTAAACAAATGATAACGTCGAAACACATGTGGTATTTGGTATCGAGATAGTTTGAGAATGGTTCCTGGCCCAAACAATGTCGGTGAACCCGCGCACACAAAAAAAAAATTTATAGGTGGCACTATATGCAAAGCGGGATTAGTATAATGAATTTTCATTAATTAATTTATCAGGCAAATTTATAAAATTATTATTTATTATTTCTTACTTGAATTCTTATCAATTATTTAAAAAAAAATTATATTATTAATTTTTTAAGTTTTCTTATCAACTGAAATTAATTAAATATAATAATTTTGTTTATACCTGTAAATTTATAGTATACAACGGACTTGGATAAATAAATATTCTTTCGAAATTAGGTGATGATTTATATCTATCAAAATGGCCTTTTCTTTGCCAAGGTCCTTTCAATTGACTATCTCGTGGCTGAAAATTAAAAACATACATTAGTATCATAAAACATTTATTTCGAATAATTTATAAAAAATGTAATATAAATTTATATTTAAATATTTTTTTAAATTAATTATCGTAAATTGTTATAATACATGTATTTACCTTATAAATGTCAACCTTCTGTCCTAATTGATCTTTAAACTTTGTTATGATTCTTGTTACTCTTCCAATCATCTTTTACTCATGTCGATTGACCCACTAGATTCCACTGATTTGGATTTGTATGTTACCCCTATACGCTTGCGCTTTAAAAATCTTCACAATTAAAATTTATGGAAATATCCAAATATTCATTACTAACTCATTAAAAGCTGACTAATTTTAGAGATCAATTCTTTGTTATGCAGCCAGTAAGTTAGTGACATTCAATCAAATGGAATTGTATTTTAAGAAAAAATCGATTCGATTTCTCCCTGTAGAGGCAAGCGCAGAAGGATGCTTGCCAAGAGGTCAAAGCAGATAAAGTTGACGCATGAAAGCAGGGTGGTTGGGTGACTATCACCACCACCACCACCATCACCAATTCAAAGTGTAACCTTGGTTTAAATGCAACTTCCAATAGGGTGTGGATATCAACGTGCGCTCTAAGATATTCCATCAGCTTTGCGGGCACATTGTTGGTCCGGCAGCCGCGCAATGCGGACGTGCGTACAGAACTGGCGGGAGAGGTGACCAAAAGCTTTGTAGCTGCGAAATTCGCAGCTTGCGAACAAGATATTGCTGATAATTTCGCAGCTATCACGGCGGACTCCGACATAACAGTTGAGAAAAATGTTCAAAAGCCTAACAGCCAAGATGTGTATCTTAAAAGTTGGAGTGAAATGCCAACGCATCTGCAGTTTAATCCACACATTAAGACGGGATACCGACCAATCACTGATATCAAAGGATGTCTCGTGAGCCTTTTTTATTTTCACAATGAAACTGTCAATATTTTAACTCACGGTAAGTCCCTTTTGACTTTCAATCTTAATTATCATTTTTTTCTCATTGTTTTGTCCGCGTTGTGAAGCACGAAAACTGCATTGCCATAAATGGATCCATAAGATTAAGGTCAAGGTCTATCTCTAGGTCAACTTCCGGGATTATATAGAAATCTGAAAACAATTCAATTAATTTAATTGAAAAAAAAACAATGTATCCTAAAATAATCTACTTGAAAGTGTTAGAAAAGTTTAGAATTCTTTAAAAATGACTATACTTGATATAAACAAAGGAAATGTCAATAGATACTTTTATATAATAACTATACAAAAATTTTTCATCAATAACTTACAATGTAATACTAACAAGTTTCTATTGATTTAGGTCTAGCTATTTTATACATCTTATTGAGAATTCCAAATTTTTTACCATGGTGGGACGAAGGTGTTTATCTGGGAATTATTTCCTGGTGCCATTTTATTGGTGCCATAAGCCCATGGATTGGTTCTTTTACTTATCATCTGTTTATGAATTTAAACTATGGCGAAGCTTTCTACAAAAAACTACTCAAACTGGATATGTTGGGAATTTGGGTCTGTCAGAGTGTTGGTAAAGTATTTATCCATTTTCTATGAATTTCTTTAACAAAAAACAATAGTAAAAGAAACAATACTGTCATAAATTAATTAAAAGAATTTATATATATATTAGCTTGTATTGTTCGAAAGAAAGTTATATATAACTGGAGCTAGAGGTCTTAAGAAAACTTGAAATTGAATAATTGATTTATTGAATGATGTTACAGGCGCAGTGCCAATGATATCTGCATCAGTTCACTGTCTTCCAGCGGTTCTTTGGCATTTAACAATGCTCATATATGTCTTCTTGAGCCTCTGGGGTCTATTAAAGGCAAGGAAGAAAGCTTAAATTATTTAATCATGACTTGATCAAAGAACTTGTGACATGAAAATTATGCAATTATTCTCTTTAGGCAATGAAAGCTAAATCACCATGGGAGAGAAGGCTTTGCTTTTCGCCTCCGTTTATGATGCGCATGATCTTTTTGGTATTAAGATATTTTAATGTTGGTGGAGGTGCACCCGATGGCCTTACACATATCATACTTCAAGTAGGATAATTTATTGAGTTAAATGATAATTTTCAATTAAAATTTATTAGGTAAACCAATTAAGTTAATAAAATACCTTAATTATTCAGGATCTCGTCGCAGTAATTGGTGGAACAGTTGGAGCGTTAAGGATACCAGAAAAATGGTTACCAGGTCAAGTAGATTTTATGTTAAATTCCCATAACATTATGCATGTCATAGTAGTTGTTGCTGTTTGGTCAATGCACGAAGCAACGATGCAGGATATTAAATGGATGATGGATCCATCAGTATGTCTAGTTTCTTCTTCTACTTCCTCTTCGTCTTTTTCTTCTTCTCCAATAATTCGCCATGATGAATTATAAAATTTGATTCTAATGATTCCCATGAAGAAAACTGTGATTATCAATTGAAATCTCAGAGATATACGATAAAATCTGTGATTAAACTAGAAAAATATGAAAAAAAAAATCTACATAAATCATTGAATGCAGGAAATGATCTGCACATTAAAAAAAAACTATTTATTGTTTATTACTATTGTTATTAATTTTTTTCTTACTATTACCACTATGGATGAAGATAATATTAAAATATTACGTAGGAATTAATGATAATAAATAATTATTACACATTTGATTGTGATTTAATAGAATAAATTTAATAGAGTAAATTTACTATGTTGGAAATAATATGTTGAATTTCCTTCGTATGGATCCAACTGATATAATATTTACAAAGTTTTAAATATTATTCATAGAAATTTATCTAATGTTAAAATTGAATTGTAATTTTTGAGTAACGTGATAGAGTAAAGCAATAAATAAATCGCACCACCAAAATAACTTTCTTTTATTGAGACCTATATAATAATATACTTTATTTCATAAATATATATTTATTTTATAACGTTCCATTTTTTTATCATATTTTATTTAATTTCGAAATCCATAAAATATTAGATATTACGACTATATTAAACATAAATGAAATTTTTCAAGGCCAATAAGGTAAATTAAAACAAAGATCTTACCATCCTCTTGGGTAAAAAGCAATTAATAAATATCTAATTTTTCATTAAAATTTTAACAAAAAATTCACTGTAAAGGCGCTTCACTTTCTTGAGTATAGCTTTTGACTCTGCTGAACCGAAAACACGGATACTTATTTAATACATTTAAGCACATACTTCCTTCTTGTCCATTTTTGTACTGAGTAAAAATATTATAGCAAATCCAACTCAATTGAAAATTTGCTTTTCTGTGATGAGTTTGAATTTCGAATTCCTAAAACATTATCATCAATAATTACATAATGTTGAATAAAAGTGAATTAAAAGTTAATTTAAAAATATATTACCAGATGGTAAGTTTGTTCTCCACTATCATGCACCAGGTCTCGCTTTTTTTTCTTATACGTAACTGAGTTACTCTTAGATTCTTGTTTTTTTAACACTAGAGTTACACGATTATCGCGAAGTCTAAAATGACCAACCAAAATAGAAAGATTTCGAGGATTGCGATTTTTCAAGGCATTAACACAGCTTTGTGCATCATCTGTTGATGTAAGCATTAAAACACGGCCCTCCGGAAAAAATCTAAAATAAATTATAAAATTATTTAATTGATTACAGTGTTCATAAATTTTTAGATTTTTTATCTTTCTAAAAAATTTAATACTTCTTTCATACACACCTTAGATATCTAAAATATTCTACTAGATGCCAAGGCCGATAAAACTGATCTTGAAAACTGTTTTCTCCATATCGAATGTATGTATTTTTACTTATGTAGCATCCATTATATCGTAACCTAAGTCTTTTCAAGTACATATCTCGCCATGATAGATATTTCGGCTCATAATGACCACAATTCACTCCCCAAACTCTCACACAAGCAAGTCTCCATATTTCTGGATCTCTTGCTGATATATAAAATCCACGACATACTCGAGAAAATAATTCTAAAGAACGAAGATCTAGTTCAGATGAAACGACCCATCGTAATATATACAAAATTATTTCCATAGGCAATGCAGAGATGTGCGTTGTCTGTAAAATAATTAACAAATTATTTTAATTAAGTAATTTTGACAAAATGTATATATTCATCATAAGTTTTTGAATTTTACCATTTGTTCAAAACGAGGATAGCAAACGTACTGATTTCGACTAACAATTCGAGATAATTTATTAATAAGATCATCCTCTTCGATATCATTGATGGTTTCAGTACATTCACGAACATCATTGACTTTTTTTTCAAATTCAATCGTATCTGCAGTTTCATATTTGTCCCTTACTTTTGGTTTCATTGACTCATACAACTTGAATTCAATATCTGGTACTAATTGGACAGCACGTTTATAAAATCTTATTGCATCATATAATTCGCCATTCTGTTCGTACTCTACCCCTTTCAAAAATAAATCTCGAGCCTATAAAACATGAATGATTGTAAATATTAATTTCTGGCAGCTATAAATAAATAAAACATTCTTGTTAAAACTACCTTGCTTTCTATAGTCACGTCTTCTTTATTTTTTTTAACATTGACTAGTTTATTTGATGAAGATCCTCGTGCTTCTTTTTTAGGTGAAATTTCAAGTTCTCTTTGCCATTGTTCACGAAAACTTGCTAAAACATCTTCAGCCTGAACATTAGATGAAGAAGATCCTTCTGAATCATCGCCATTCTCTCCATCATTCCCCCCAAGTTGATTCTGTTGGAAAACGATTTTATAATTTTCTAATGCTTGACAAAAATAAGTGTTATCATTTTCACATTATTTTTAATTAATGTAAGATAAAAACATTCAACTTTGCATATGTTAATTTGTGTGTTGAGGTTATGATGACGTACGTAATAAGGTGAGAACGATGAAAACCACAAAAATTCGACTTAACATTTCAATCTACTGACGTACCATTATTGACAGAGTTATAATCCTTTGTTTTGTTTATTTTCTTTGTTTCAACGCACAAATTCTCGGTCAGAATAGCGTACGACACATTGAAAACACAACATTGCTAGTTGAGCCGCCGCCATCTTTAATAATTATTTAGGTAATACATGAATACACATTTAGCTCCATAAATGTCAAAAAATTATAAATCATGGCCTAGATAAATGTCTAAAAATGTAAGAACATATTTTTTATCATTAGGACAGTCTTCACTAACAGTGAAGAGTCTTGAAAAAAATTTTAATGACAGATAGTCCTTCTAAAACATATAATTAATTATTTACTTTTCATTATTGGAGTCAGGAATAGCCATAAGTACATCAAAACAATAAATATTTAGCTCCGGTTGGTCACATGTGATGATCTGCGCATGTAGAGCGCGAAAATAAAAATTCGCTCAAAATCGGCCAAAAACGATTCTATAGTCGTGGTACAGTGTACCTGACATAGTGTTTTTCCAAGATTGCTATAAAATATTAATTGTTTGCAAATTTTTTTGCTTCAAAATGTCGTTATATTTGATAGAATATCTGTGCAAAATTTAAATCAAACCACTAGAAGTATGCTTTTCGCGACGTTGCTAATTTCCCTGTAATTTTGTCCCTAGAATTGTGTTATTTTTAGTTTACTAGGGACCCAGGAAAATTTTTTTTATCAATAAAATTTTTTTTCTATGTAATTGATTTATTTACACTGGATGTCAATGATAGTATTTTAAAAAAAATATTCAAATCGATAAAGAAATTTTAATTTTGACAACCGTTACATACGGTATTCGCATTCAATCTTCTCAATGATCTACAGTTCCAATTTGACAACGCGGACCAATAACTTTCTACAGTTAGATCCATTCGAACCAATGAAAACCTGCCACACGAGAGATGAAAAGACAATATTCATGTTGCCGGTACACCTGCGACAGTTTGTAAGTGTTTAACGTTGAATAAACGAAATCAAATTGATTACAATCTCTCGTTTGAGCCACGTGTAATTATTATCAGTAATTTTATAAGATTTAAGTTTATAATACAAAAGAAATTTATGAATCTCTAAATCATTGAGATTACACGACGTTTTGAAACGTTGAAAGCTTACTACATTCTCTATAAATAATAATAAAGTTTTCCATTCGTATGTTGAATGTCTGCGTAAATTTGCAACTACATAATACATGAAAATGAAGTCTGTAACAGTTATTTGTTTATCCATTATTTTAATAATAATATCATGTTTCACTGGAAACATCAATGGAGTTGCTGTCATGAGTGTCGACTTAGGAAGTGAATGGTTCAAAGTAGCAATTGTATCTGTAAGTATTCATTACCATTTATGTCCAATTTTATTTCATGCATTAATTTTAAAAATTCATCAAATCATGTATTTATTCCAGCCTGGCATTCCAATGGAAATAGCTTTGAATAAAGAATCTAAGCGAAAAACTCCAACAATAAGTGCATTTAGAGATGATGAACGGCTCTTTGGAGAAGATGCCCAAATAGTTGGAGTTAGATTTCCTAAAAACAGCTTTCAATATATTTTAGATCTTGTTGGAAAATCTATAGATAATCCTATTGTTGAATTGTACAGAAAAAGATTTCCTCATTATGACATAATTCCAGATGAAGAAAGAAATACAATAATTTTTAAATTAAATGAAGATATGTCTTTCACTCCTGAAGAGTTGTTAGCACAAATTCTTCATACAGCAAAAGAAATGGCAGAAAATTCTGCTAATCAAAAAATTAACGAAGTTGTTCTAACAGTTCCTGGATTCTTCAACCAGGCCGAGAGAAGAGCAATTCTTAAAGCAGCAGAGCTTGCTGATCTTAAAGTGTTACAACTAATTAATGATTATACTGCTGTTGCATTAAATTATGGGATCTTTCATAAGAAAAAAATCAATGATACTGCTCATTATATTTTGTTTTACGACATGGGGGCCAGTTCAACGACTGCAGCAGTTGTTAGTTACCAAAATGTTAAAACTAAAGACAGAGGCATTGTAGAAACCAGTCCACAAGTTAGTATTTTGGGTGTAGGGTATGATAGAACACTTGGAGGATTGGAAGTTCAAATTAAATTACAACATTATTTAGCTAGTGAGTTTGATAAAATGAAGAAAACTCCCAACTCTGTATTTAAAAATCCAAGAGCCATGGCAAAATTATTCAAAGAAGCTGGAAGAGTTAAAAATGTTCTCAGTGCTAATGCTGATCATTATGCTCAAATTGAAAGTTTACTTGATGATAAGGACTTCAGACTTCATGTTACGAGAGAAAAGTTGGAAGAGTTGTGTGCTGATGTATTTGAAAGAGTTACTAATCCTATCAAAATGGCATTAGATGTATCAGGATTAAGTATTAAAGTTATTTCACAAGTAGTCATCGTTGGGGCAGCAACTCGAATGCCTAAAATTCAAGACATCTTAACTGCATATGTTGGAAGCGATTTATCCAAGAGTATTAATGCTGATGAAGCAGCAGCCATGGGTGCAGTTTATAAAGCTGCAGAATTGAGTCAAGGATTTAAAGTAACAAGATTTATTACAAAAGATGCTGTTCTATTTCCAATTCAAATTGTCTTTGATAAATCTACTGATGACAAGCCGAGGCAGGTTCGACGCACATTATTCGGAAAAATGAATTCTTATCCTCAAAAAAAGATTATTACCTTCAATAAACGAAAAGAAGATTTTTCATTTGATGTCAATTATGCAGAGTTAGATTATTTACCACCTCATGAAATTAAGTAAGTCTTTATTTATAATAATCATTAAAATAATATTTATTATTTTTAATTATCTGATATTTTAAAATAGAGCTGTTGGTAACTTGAATCTATCAACAATCTTCCTATCCGGTGTTGCTGAAGCTTTGGAAAAGCACATCAAGGAAGGAGCAGAAAGTAAAGGAATCAAAGCACACTTTGTTATGGATGAAAGTGGCGTTTTGAATCTCCTGAATGTTGAATTGGTTGGTGAAAAGACCACCTCTGCTGATGCTAAAGATGAGGGTACATTTTCTAAACTTGGTTCAACCATTACCCAATTCTTCTCAGGTTTGAATTATCAATTCTTTCGTACCTTGATGTACTCATACTTTGAAAATATGTGTCTTATAGGATCTGAAGACACTGAAAAAGTAGAAAAGGCTGAAGAGCCTCCGAAAGAAGATGTTAAACCTGTTCATGAAGAACCAGAACAACCACCTGAACCTGCAGCTGAAGAAAAGCCAAAAACTGAAAATGAAACTAAAACAGAAGAAAAATCAAATAATCAAACAACCGACAATAAAACTGATAAAAAGATGACTGTGACTGTTCTAAAAGAGCCTATTAAGTCAGTTGAAGTTAAATATGGTCCTCAAGAATTAAAAGATGAAAAATTGAAAGCATCGCGTGAAAAGTAATATTTCACTATTGTTGAAAAGAAATCGTAAGCCCTAAATATAATCTAAATTTTATTTTACAGAATAAAGGCATTGGAACTACGTGATCTGGAAAAGAAACGTCGTGAAACAGCTCTCAACAATCTCGAATCATTTGTAATCAACACACAGCAGGATTTGAAAAAGGACGAATACATAAAGGCTGGAGCTCCAACAGAAATTGAGAAAATTGCTGATGCATGTCAAAAGACTTCTGATTGGCTGTATGAAGACGGCTTCGATGCAGCGGCAGAAACTTATGAAGAAAAATTGCAGGATTTACAAAGCAAAACACATGATCTTTACGAACGTGTATTTGAACATCGTGAAAGACCCGAAGCTTTAGCTGGAATGTTTTCAATCTTGAATGCTAGTAATGCATTCTTGAATAACATGAAAACTTATAACAATAATCAAATTTTCACACAAATTGAAATTGAGAAACTTGCAAAAACTATCAATGACACTGTCGTAAGTAAAAAATGAAATCTAAATTTGTTTAAAATTTAACAGTGCTTTTCAACATCATTTAAAAATAATTTTTTCTCTTATAGGAATATCATGAAACGGTTATTCGAGTCACAGCAGAGACTCCTCTTCATGAACCTGTTAAATATTCAGTCCGAGATATTGCAAATAAAATGGCCATATTAGATCGTGAAGTGAAATATTTAATGAACAAAGCCAAAATATGGAAACCCAAACAGGAAACAGCTTCTAATCAAACCGAAAAAACTGATGAAGCAGCAAAGGATAATCAGACGGAATCAACAGCTGATAGCACCACTGGCGCTGATGAAGAACAAATAGTACTTGAAGCGGCTGATGACAAAATTAGTGAAAGTGCATTACCGGAAACGTCTACTGTAAATGAAAATGAGCAAGATGATAGCGCAACAAGCTCTACAAGTGATGATCAACATCAAGAACTTTAAACAAAGTGCTGTTTAGGCAAAAATTAATTACTAATATTTAACGAATATTCAGAATTGTCCTACATTACAATATTTTTTCTTACAGAAAAAAAAGATGATAAGGAAATTAACGGAAAATTGTTTTGAATAATCTTGTAACTTATATCTGCGATAAGCGATTTATTTCATGTTTTCCTGTATAAATAAGAGCCTGCACAAGTCTGCCATTAAACAAATCGTGTACAGTATTCATAATATAAAATTACCATCGACGTTTTTTCATAAAAATTTTTTAAAGTATTCTCATTTATAACTAAAGTAGTGATTTTTGAAATAAAGAGTGTGATTTCAATCGAACCCATTCAACCCTTACTTTTTACATCAATTAGAAATATTTTTGTTTAATGAGCATACATTTAAATAATTGAACAACATTAACACTATTCTAAGCTGCCTTTCATTCATTTTCATTTTTTCATTAATTTTTGACTTGTGTCATGTTTTTGATAATTTTGATATAAAAAATTCCAATAACCTAAAGTAATAAATAATATAAAATAAGATTGAATAGTTAATTAATTATTTTGTTAAATATTCACACTGGAACTGAAAAGATTGAAATTTAAAATGTAAGCGTACTTATTGGATTGTTGCAAAAACATTTTTATCAAATTTATTATTAACTTTAAAAGTTTATTATGATTTATATTAAAAAATAAACTCATCAAGATTCTTGCAACAATCTAGATTCTAATTAGAAGATAATAGTGGGATTAATACAATTGTTGAAGATGTTTATTTATTAATTGGGAATTTATTGGGAGATATATAATAAAATCTTATATAATTGGTGATGAACTCTTGGCTATAACAAACATTTTATTCCGCGATTTTGTGTCATTTGATATAAGTGGAGGATTCTTTGAATATTAATAAACAAGCTAAATTAAATTTACTAAATTTTCTTTCGTGTATACATGTACAGATAAGAGAGTGAATGTAAATTTTATTTTATACTTATAAATGTATTGGCTGTCTCTTGGTCAGTTTTTCATGCTTTATAACGAACTGTATTATCAATCATGATCGTACAGAAAATAAAAACGGCATTATGATGTAAACATAACAGATACAGGAACATTGCTATCAAATTCGCAAGCTATATGATGATTGATCTTTTGATGGCTTATAAAGTCACCAGTCAGATCATCCAAACAATTATAGACAGTTTTTTTAATTATATGAAATCATTATTATTATTCATTATCATTATAATTATTAATATTTTCCCCTCTCTTTTGTTTAAATGTGTTATATTGTCGAATCAACTAAGTACTTTATAAATTTGTTTATAATCCAGACAGCTATTTTAAAAAATGATCAATGACATATTTCAGTCTTAATGAAAAACATTGTTGCCGTCGAATTGATAAGCCGGAATGCCATTAATTAAAAGTATCTGTTGTCGATGGTATTATTTAATCCATATATGAGTGTAATGAAGATGTTTGGATGTTTTATTTTTTACTCGACTTTGACTAATGTTGAACTTTTGAAAGCTGTGGTATCGGCTGAAGTGAAGCAAGTTCCTCTAAGAGGCCCATGCCTACGGCTACTCCACTCATATTTTCTTGTCCAGTCGATCCAGAAGCTGGCAATGAGTTCATAGTCTCGTTATGGGCACCTAAAACATTTCAATTATCAAGAAAAATATAATTTGAGGTGTTTCAAGCAAAAAAATTTAGATACATAAGAGTATATGGACTTTTGCGTATTAGTTTTAGGCAAATAAATAAAGAAAATAAGAGAATACCTACCGGAAATGATTTGTACAACATCGAATATTTTATTTATTTATTTGTCTAAAACTAGTGCGCAAAGGTCCATATATTTAATGCATCTATATTTTTCTGTTTGACGCGCCTTGATAATTAAAAAAACAATAGATGTATGGGGAAGTTGAATTTTTCGTATGAAAATAAATGATGAGGTGACATTACCTGAGTTGCTACTCACCTACAGGCATCGAGCCTGCCATGGGAGTAGGTGAAGGCGAGACCATTGTAAGTCGAGCTTGGTCTTTAACTATAGGATCTATAAAAATATTTAGTGATAAGACAAATTCTCATCTCATACTTTGATTTCGACTATGCGATCCATCAACTCACAAAAATATGGATGATCCATCGCTTCTCGCGCAGTTAATCTATCATAATGATCATAGCGGAGAAGTTTGTCAAGAAAATCAAGGCTTTCAGGCGATACTAAATGTTGATTTTCTGAATGCACAAAACGTTCCCAACGTTTTCGGGAATGACGGCCCAGAATGTCATTGAATCGAGGATCAAGTTCAATATGATACTTATCGAGGTATTCAAACAATTCTTCTGTGCCTAAAACTTTAGCGATCCTTACCAACTGGTCATAGTTATCATGACCATGAAAAAATGGCTCTTTCCTAAATATCATACTCGCTAACATGCAACCTAGAGACCACATGTCCAAGGAATAGTCATACATCTGCAATAATAAATCAACATAACTAATTAAAAACAATAAATTTTTTGTTACTTAAAAATTCTAATAGCAAGAGGAATGTAGAAATGAAATAAAAGTTATATAATTTTACATACAAACCTGATAATCAACAAGTAATTCTGGTCCTTTAAAATATCGAGAAGCTACACGTACATTGTACTCTTGTCCTGGGTGATAAAATTCTGCTAACCCCCAGTCAATCAAGCGCAACTTACGATTTTCATGATCAATCATAACATTGTGCGGCTTAACATCTCTGTGCATAATGCCCATGCTATGGCAATAATCCAATGCCTAAATAATAATTAAATATAAGAATTAATATCATTAATTCTCAACAATAGAAATCAAGTTTAAAAATAAAAAAAAATTTTACTTTGAGGAGTTCATAAAGGTAATATCTAATGTCATAATCTGTCAACGTCTGATAAAGTTGTTTGAAATCTGTATTGTTGACATATTCAAATATCAATGCAGGTGTCCTCGAAACAGGATCCTTAACGACCGCTTGAAGTGTTATAATATTAGTTCCACCCCTGAGATTTTCCAAGATTTTTATTTCTCTTTTAATTTTCTTCTTTTTCACAGGCTAAAATATAGAGTAGAATAACGTCAATATCTAATTTGGTGTACCCGTTCATTTAAATTTGAACGTTTATTTCTATCATTTTTATCAAGGACAACAATAATTCACCTTTAATATTTTCACAACACATTTCTCATTGTTTGTGATATTGATTGCTTCGAATACTTCGCTGTACTTTCCCCTTCCTAATTTTCTTACTAACTGATAATCGTCTTGTTGTCTATAAATGAAAAAATTGCAATTAATCATACCCTCGGTTGTCATACACTTTGAACAATATAAAAGTTATAGTAAATTGAAAAAAATAATAGAGTCTACGATAATAAATATTAATTATATTCTAATAGAGTTATTGTTCAATAATTTTACATTCAAATTTAAATATTCCAAGTGATTTACAAGCATGATTTGATTGAAATTTATTTTTTTATCCCAAAAATCAATAGATAATTTGAATTTGACATATTGATTTAACATAAACATAATTTATGTTTTATTTTAAAAATATTATTGATCAGCTGCACTTTCTAATGATTGATGACAAAGACGTTGCATCAGTGGGTGAAGGTAAATAGATTATCAAGCTATTAATAAGAATTGTTAGGGGATTGTTGTTTTCATTCACTGATTTTTCTGTAATAGACTGGTTAATGATTGGATGTAAAAAATCTATAGAATAACTTACCCCCAGTCTACTACGTAAGATTCATAGTCCCAATACTCTCTTGTTTGGTGTGAATTGACTTCGGCATAAACACGTGCTCTACTTGGCAATGCCATTCTGTCGTATATGTCGGAACAAATATTATTTGTATCGTTAACACTATTAATCAATGGACTTTCTTTTTGTCGATTTATAGGAAACATACGACGAACATCTACACCAACATAGCCGTTCACCAAACGACTAACATATAGATGCTTTGTCAACCCTGTAACAATCAAGACAATTGCTATTACAGTACATTTATGATGTTATTTTATAATTAAATTGAAAAATAAAAGATTTATTTATACTGAATAATGGAAAAAGAGTTGACTATAATAATTACCGTGAAATTATAACAAAAAGATGGAGATTTTTCGAGATATTTGTTGTTTGGAAATCCTAACCTTAAACTTAGAGTTTAATCTACTCTCTAGAAGAAAATTTATCTTTAAATGCTGAAATAAATATGAAATATTACCAATAAATTGTTAATTATAGATATTATTGATTATTAATGGTACGTTTTTAAAAAAAATAGATTTTTAGCCTTAGCTTCAATTTCCACTACACACCCACATAAGCAGAAAAATCATGCATTAGGAACATGATCATTGCGTAGAGAATGGTCTGATTGTATGAAAGTCTTACCTAAAGCATACCGAACACCAATATTGTAAAATGCCTTGTTGACGAATTGAATTATTGTAAAGAAATACTAAGACAGCGTTTTAGATGATTATGGCGAAACGCACGATCCACGTAACTCGAATATTTTGCGAGGACCCGGCTTCTCAAACGAACATAATCCAAGATGGAAGCCGGGGAACCGCCGCATGTCTTGAAAACTGACCCTATATTTATCTGGAAGTGTCGTGAAGTTGGCCGCTATCAGAAATTAAGACATTCCATTGGCTCTTACCTTCATTGATGAGTTGGTGTCATTGGCTGATTGTAGTAAAGTTTATCTACGCTCCGAAAAGAATAACTTCCATGGGTACAGTAGCCATATCAGTTATCACGTAGCCAACGTTCGTACTATTCATGGAAAAACGATAGTTATTTATATGAAGCTGTAGAGTAATTTTGTCCATTTATTGTTGACATTTGTTATGAATTTATTTTGCACTTGTATACCTTTCAACAGGTGTATAAGCATCTAGAATGTTCTGTGATAATTTGAAAGTTATTTATTGAAAAATTGGTGTTCAAAACAGTTGTCTTTTTTTATGTATTTTTTTACTTCCTAATTGACGGTGTGTATTCACAGAGGATTAAAATATTATTCAAGCCTGAAGACTGGCAATGACGCGTGAACAAACACCAATGAAATCTTTATTTTCATCTATTATCAAATGGTCAACGGAAAATCATCAATCATTGTTGAAAATTAGTTACAATTGTTGATAACTTTTAGGTATTTATTATTTACATTGACATTCAATGTATTTCAAGGAGAATATTCATTAATCTTCTTGATGATCAAACCATTCAATGTATTTTTAGGCAAGAATGGCCCTAGAGAAAGTTAAAATAACCCTGGAATGTGGACATGCATCTATGTTAAGGGTCAGGACTACTCCTGAAGGATATACTCATGATTGGGAATTATATGTTCGCGGAGCTGATAATACAGATATAAGTCATTATGTAGAAAAAGGTAGTTTTTTATTCCCTATCGAATTATAACAAAAACTATCACTATCAATTTTCTTATAGCTGTTTTCTTGTAAATCAATACTTGCATTGCTAACTCATTTATTATTTATTTCAGTTGTCTTTCATCTGCACGAGACATTTCCTAAGCCTAAACGTATTCTAAAAGAACCTCCATATGAGGTAAAAGAGTCAGGTTACGCGGGATTTATGATTCCTATTGATATATGGCTAAAGAATAAAGATGAGCCAAAAAGAATTCAAATTCAATACGATTTGCATTTACAACAAAGAGGCCCAGCTATCAACAATGTTACTCGATATACTGAAGTGTTTACAAGTCCTGGTGATGATTTTCGCAAGAAATTATTAAAAGGTGGAGGTGTAAGTATTCTTATTTTATTGATACTCTAAATTATTATAAAAATTGTAATTTATTTGTGGTGAATGAAATTCAATAAATTGGTAACAATTCATGACAATGAATGAAAAATTGTTCTTTCTAGGTTATAATGTCGAACGTCGATGAAGGGCATGATCGAAGTGAATCTAAATCATTAGTTCCAATGGTAAGTAAACCGAAACTAAGTGGAAGTGAAAGTAAAAAACATCGTACGGAGCCAAAATCATCAAATGATTTCGATGATATATTTGGTGACTCCATAAAAATTGCTAAAGTCTCTCCAGAGAATAAAAAATCCTCTGTGGATAAAACATACCACAAACCTCTACCATATAAATCAGAAAAGACAGAAAAAATGAACAAATCAAAGCACAGTCCTCATAAAGATAGTAAACGCGAAAAAAATGGAGAAGAGAAGAAAGATAAAAAAAATAAAGAAGCTTCTAAAGAGAAGGAAAGGAGTAAAGAGAAAAGTAAGAGGCCACCTAGTCCAGGTAGTAAAAGTAGTTATCAAAGTCCTAGTAGTAAACGACCTTCTTCACCTGTGGCGGTGAAGAAGCAACTTAGTCCTTTAGGCTCTATAAGTACTCCAAAGTCCTCGTCTCCAAAAATTCGCGAAAAAGAGCATAAAAAGGTTGTAAATGATAAAGACAAGGAGAGAGAGAAAGAAAAGTCTAAAGAAAGTATCAAAGGATCATCAGAAGAATTAAAAAATGATAAAAAAAAGAAAAAGCATAAAGATGATAAAAGTACAGAACGAAAAGATAAAATTCGTGATAAGGATCGTGATAAAATAAAAGAAATGAAAAATTTGGAGAAAAAAATTGTTGAAAAGTCTGAAAAACATGAAAAATCTGATAAGAAAAAAGTACAGGAAACCAGTAAATCATCAAAAGACTTGAAAAAATCACCTAGGCCTGTTAAGGAAGGTGATCGCAGTAGTTCTAAATCTAGAAGTGAAAAAATAGAAGTCACAGAAAAGGTTAAGGACGTTAAAAGTGATAAAGATCGGCAGAAGCATAAACATAAAAAAAAGGAAAAGAAGGAGAGGTCGGATGAGAGTAAAGAGAGGGATAAACGTGATAAACGTGATAAGCAGAAAAATAATGTTGAAAAAGGTGGCGGAGGAAGTAGTAATAGTGTGGCCCAATCAAATTCTTTATCGACACATTTGTCTGAAGTTCCTGATCGGGATAGCAGTGATTCAGCGAATTCTGCTGATGAAGAAGAATCAAAGCTTTCGTCGAGAATTAAAATGGAACAAGAGCTAGCGAGGAATCACACTTCAGAAAATCGACCGCCAAGGTCATTATCACCATCAGGGTCAGAGCATGCCAAACGTGAACCAACTGAAAAGATTAAGAAAGAAAAACTGAAGCCCCTGCGAAATGAAGAACGAGAGAGCAGCCGTAAAAGAAAAAAGAGAAGCAGTAGTAAAGGTGATGATGAAATTCCGGTCAAGAGAGAAAAAGATACTGGATTTTCTCCACCTCTTGAACCTGTTTCATCAAGTCAATCACCAGTTACTGTTGAAATGGCAGCAGCATATAATGTTAAGCCTGAATCTGATGAGGTTGAAGCAATTCATCCTAAGCAAGATTTTGAAGCTGAAAGTGAACAGATAGCACCAGATTCCACAAATAGTGTTCTAATTGAATCAGAAAATGATGAACCACCCGTTTTTTCCGAAGACTATGTTTCTCAGTTGAAAGATTTACAACAGAAAATCATGACACTACAAGATAATCAAGAATTACAAAGAGTTGTACAAGTAATAGCAGCTACTGGACAGTATGAAATTACACGGAAAACTTTTGACTTCGATCTGTGTGCTTTAGATCGGAGGACAGTGCAACGTTTGCAGCAATTTTTTTCCGCCTCTTGACAATTGAGTGAATAACTTTTCAGTGAATTGGCTGCACAGTATATATAAATATAAATATTATTATTATTTTATTATGATCATTATTATTTTATTATTATTATATTATTATTAATATAACAATTTTTAGATTGTAAGTAGACCCAATTAAATTATATGAATGTTAATGAATTATTATTGTAAATCACACTACGCCAAACTAAGTAGACTAATGATGCATCACACTCTCATTTCATTAGTGTCATTGCCAAATATTTCATGGTTTTTTATTGTCATGGATATCTCAATAAACAAAATGAATATCGTAGATATTTTTTATACAGTAGCGAAAATATTGATCATTATTATTAATAAAATTCATGACAAAATAAATAAATTAGAGATTTTATTAGTTCAAAGATAAAATATAATAAAAATAGAAATATACAAAATCGCTACTGAAATATAAATCAATTAATAGATGAAGGGAATGTAAATTCCTTGAATTCTAATTCTTTAATTCTCCAAAGGAAAATTATGTTTTTCTTGGTAAACTCTTGACGTAAAAACTAATTAATTGCTGTGAGAAAGATATAATTAGATAAAAAATAATCAATTTGTATAAATTTCGAAAATTATATTTTTTGAATGAATTTTGAGATTTAAGCTGCATAATGTGTATGTATATCTCAACATAAATAATGCGATATTACATAGGAAATTTATTATTTAAGCTATTTTATTGATAGGCAATAAAAATTTATGTGTGATTAATGATTATGATTAATTCTCAAATGAGCTTAAAAAGTGCGCGACATTGGTCAAAAATCTTTTAAGGGAAACGTATTGAAAGGAAAAAAAAAGAGTGAGAAAATTTTTATTATAAAAAAATCTAAAATCTTCTTCAAAAAATAAACATTGTGTGCGTTGAAATAAACATGTGATTGCATTTTAAATGGCTTTCTCTATTCGTATCCTTTATATACATTTTAAAACCACGAATAATTTATTTTATCCTATTGTTTGCATGATGAATCTCAATGATTGCGGAGGGACTGAATTTATTTTATCAAGCTTCGCTACTTTGTAAGTAGAACAAGTCCAACAAGTCAGACATCACTCTCAAACAGCCCTGCAGCACGCAATTGGTTATTATATCCTATGTCCTGTCTCTCTGGTGCTGTAAATTCTTCTTTAGTGTAACAATTAAACCTTCGAAGTGTAGAAACTACACAAGGCTCACCCTTGACCCGTGAAAGCTAGCAAAATTCAAGGGTATGGCATAGTTGCTAAATGTAATCTCAGCCGAATGTCGGATTGTTTTAAAGATATACACACCTAATGTATTTTATCCAAGCTATATTTTGAGAAGGAATTGTTTGCTACGTATAACGATAAAGATCGAAATTGTAGAACAGGTCAGGCGAAAGCATGACGAGAATCTACTTTGCATACATCACGACCGTGAACTTTTCAGACTAATACAAATATTCATTGCTAGGTGAAACATTGCGAGCAATTTCGCGTTTTATGACTGTGCGATGAGAGTTTTGACATAGTTATTTCAAATTTAACATACATGCTATTAATTTTATCACTCATTTTTAAGTATCGTTTTTTTAATCTTATTAACTCGACTTATAAATGTTATTGTTTTCAACTTTTTCTAAATCTAGTAGAAAAGTAAAAGAAAATCATAAAATCTGACACATTCGTCTATTTATTGTCCATTTTTTCTTCCACTTTTATAGATTCGCTAAAGTTTTTAAATGCTAACGTAAATTTTGATTGTATAATTTTTATTATTAAAGTGAACGTTAAAAGAAAACTCAAGAAAGAATATAAAAATTGAGCTGATTTTTTTTATATCTGTCATCTACCGAAACTTTACTTTTTATATCGATTTGATGATTACGTAAATATAAAATTTTATATGGGATGTTTAGAACGAAAAAGTAGATTAGAAAAATGGTTTTAAAAAAAAGAAAGATTTCAAAAACAATGAATATTGTTGGTGAAGAAAAGTTTTAATTTTTAGAAGATTTATAAAAGTTCGAAGATCCTAATATAAATATTAGATGTATAATCCCTGTGAAAGATAAGTTGAACCATTTTTAAATAACCAGAAGAAATGAGAATAGTTGAGAAATTTATATATTAAAAATATGTAAAGAAACTTTTCATTGTTTCTTTTGAACTTTCAGGAGTAAAAGATAACTAAGGCAAACATATTGATGAAATAATTTCAGTAATAAGATAGTTTCCAACTTTCTGACTCTCGTCTACGATAGGAAAGTTAAAAAAAAAATAGCGTAACTATTTTATCGGGTATGGTATGACATAATAATCTAGTTGAAGTTGATTGATCAAGTTCTTAAAAGAATTTACAGATTCTTTGAAGACTTACGAAATAATACTGGTATGCTAGTACTATTTTTATCAAGAAATATTCTGAAAATGATTTAAGAGTCAAACTAGAAATGGAAAAAGTTAATTGTATTTCTAAAAATGTTTAGATAGAATTTCCGATTTTTTTCAATCATAAAAAAGCACTTGAATGAAACAATGGTCGGATAATTGATTATAAAGTTTTACAGTGAAATAAAAAATTTCTGTAGTTAAATCATCGAATTTTATGAGTGGAGTTCAGGGTAAATTGATGATTCAGTAAATTGAAAAGATTAGAGAGGCATACAAGGGCATACTTATAAAATGAAATGTGAAAAATAAAATTAAAACTTAAAAAAATGTAATTTACCATCAATGAAAGTATAATTAAGTTTATTAAATCTTTTGTCCAATTTTTCTATTCTTCAGAATTTCTGTGAATAAAAGAAACTTTGAAATCAATACCATTGCCCTATTTTTCATGCAATTAGTTTACAGAAAAATGCCATAATAAAGCTTAAAAATTACCTCAAAACAATACTACTTATAAATATAAAATTAAAATCAAAAATAATCTGAGATTTTATTAATGTAAAGGCATCCACATGCATATTAATGAAAACGATTTGCATACTGCTCTCATAAAGTTCCTAAACAAGAGATAAAAAAATCAAAGCATGAAAAAATAATTTGGAAAGCATCTCGAAGAAATTTTAGAACAAGATTTTCTGAACAATAAAGAGGTACACTTGAGTGAATATTGGCCACAGGATTTAAATGGTAGGAATGTCTAGGAAAGGTTATAAGAAAGAGAAAAGTTCGTAGGAGGTAAGGAAAAAGAGAAGGTATATAGTAGAGGAGATAGATCGCTTAGTAGCACGAAGCTCGGTGGTCATGTGTATGGCAAGGGAGTAGGAAAGGGGCTAGGGAATTGGGTAAAATAGAAAGAAAAGGAAAGAGAGTCGGCAATAGCCTAAGAGAGGCAGATGCCAAGCCGGAAAAATGTCGAGAGATGGATAAAAGCATGAGCTGTAAACCAAGGGGATGAGGAAAGACAAAAATGGGAAAGAGAGAAGGGGTATACAGCAGTTATGTAGGTGTGTACATAACGTGATAGAAAAGTACGACATTGAGTTGAAGTGAGATAGACGAGTTATTGGGGGTGGCGAAATGAGGGAGTCAGCGTGTAAAAGAGAGAAATATGTGGGAGAGGGCGTGTTGGTAGAGATAGCAAACATAGTAGTGAAGGTTGGAGGGAAGGAGGAGTATCAGCAGCAGCACCAGGAGGCCGAGGCTGCGGCGTACCCTCAGTGTCGGCGCAGTGGCCGGGCCATCGTGTCGTATGTCCGAATCCCGTCATCACGGGATTCGATCGGCTTTTCTTCTTCTATCTAAAACAAGATATAACTTTCAATAATATATCACTGACACTGCAACATACACTTAATTATGTGTGAAATAAAAACATTTGTTAAACTCACCATAATGTCCATTTTGCCCAGTTGAACTCGATACGTTGTATTTCTATCTGTCTAATAAATTTTTTTTATCCTCGCGACGATTCATGTTTCATTTAAGGTGATCCTTTGTACATACTGAGACTTGTGCTGCAGACATTTGTGGTGATGTAGACTCAAAATGTGAGCAGTATTAGGGTATTTATTAGCCCAACCTGTCAGACAGTTTAGTGATATTATTACTATTATCAGATATTGTTAATTATTTAAATAATTATTCATATTCGTATTATTATTGCTTTTATGATGATATTGTTAAAGTGATATTTACCATTAATTAGTAAGAATCCGCTTAATAGTGAGATATTAAAGGTCCTCAAAAGTCAATTAAAAAATAATATCAAGTGAGAAAGTGATAAAAGAAGGATAAGGTCGGACACGCGAGCACGCAGCAAGCGGGTGGATTTGGAAGAAGGAGGAAGTCATGCCGCCCGGGCGAGCTTGCCTCGATTCCCTCAGGATCACTGCGCTCATTCTAAATCCTCGTCATCAACGGCTGATGTTAAATCGTCGTTTTGTCTGAAAGTAAGCATTCTTTCCTCAATCTCTGTTCTCATTTGCTCTATTCTTAATACATCATGTCTATAGTCTTTTTACCTCTATCTCAATGCGTTATGTATGAATACACGTCCCTACGAAACACTGTGTTATGTCTTTTTATGTCACACAGACGCGCGCATTTTCTATCAAAGCTTTTCAAAGGATTTTTGCCACTAACTGAGAATCAGTTTTCATTGCACATTTCGATTACACAAAGAACCTCAAACAAAAATAACAGATCAAATTTAATTAAAAATAAATAAATTCTATCGTATAAACATTTTTATTTGAAAAAAAAATAAATAAAAAAGGCTTACCAAGTAAGCTCTGGTGACTTTGATGATATTGATATTATTTTAGTAAGAAGTAAATGGAAGAAAATTGAGAGCTCATGTCAGAAGCACTTTACCATACCAAATGTTATGTGCACATGGACTTATTCAAATGTATTTAAAGTTGTAGAAAGGCTAGATCCCATATTCTAGACGATTTGAGTATTCACCAGTGATCTACATAGTTTCTCCATCTCCTGTCGAGTGATAACGAACTTGGAACGTGTTATCACGAGGGTTGTGAAATTCGCCGGCTGCATTGTCTCTTTTCTGTCGTCAGTGGTATTATTTATTCAATGTAGATAACTCACTTCCATTTGCTTTCTCTCACAATAAAGTCAAGTTATTAAAAAAGAAAATGAAGATTTCTAACATTTTAATTCATTTCTCATTCTATTATTGTTTTTTCATCTCTCCAGTCCCTCCATCTAAAACATAAAAACTTACTTAAAGTTATTTTAATTAACTATTACATGAATTTAAATTTAAATCTGATCAACATCGGTTATTATTATTATATATTACGGAGGCTATCAGTATCTAAGTTTGACAGCAGCATCGTAAACTCGCACCTGTTGTGGTTCGTAGCATCCAACGATTTATGATCTGTCGCTTTTATGCAGTCTATGCATAGGCATTATAGGTTGACAGAGGTGGGAAATACGACGGTTATTCCTGTGTAGGTATGCAAAGTTCTATTTTAGTTTTAGAGAGACGTCGTCTGATGATTCAGGTTCTAACTTTATCACTTAAATTTTTACTCTTTCTCAAGTACCTAGAAAATGCGAGTCGCCACAAACCTGAAAAACATGAAAAGAAAACTTTAGTTGCTTCTTTATACTTCCTTATTTAAAAGTTTGTAATACAATTAATTTATAGGAAAAAAGAAGAGAGTTAAGTCTGCAAGTTGGGTTTTGACAAGAACGAGAGGTATTTTAAGTGAGAAACTGGGAACCTGGAGGCCAACACACGTGGAGAAGCTGCTTGGAGTGGCTGTAGTAGAGGGTGGTGGAGAAACCCGATATGAACGCCAGCGTAAATATCGAAAGAAACTCCTGGCGGCTGCCTCCTGACGAGACCGTCCAGGTTGGCGATCCGAGGGTTAAATCAGAGGTCAAAGAGGTAATTTAATCATTTCAATTATGTTTACTCTTCAATTCAGCTACTTTAGATGGATTATTTTGATTTATGAGTTTGTTTGAATTAATTAGTGTGGTATTTTATTTGGTCGGATTGTTAATACTTTGTTGGGAATTTATTTTAATCAATAATGGAAACGTCTTTGCTTTTGTAATCTTCTCTAAACGAAACAGCAATTGATGTATTTTGGCAGCATACCAGGATTAAGATTAGTTTTAAAAAACTTTTTGATGTTCTTTTTGATACGTTCTACATTTTTAGACGTCATAAGTTGTTGCTATTATTATTATTACCATCACAATAACAATTACTATTATTGTTGTTGGAATTATTTTTATTATATTTTGATTGAAGTTGGCTTTATTAATAACATGGGTTGTTTGATTGAAAAGAAATATTCTGAAGCTTTGCCAGTTATTTTCAATTAATACATTGAAATTCGGGAAAATATTTATTACAGTCTGATATTTAAGTGATAAGATGCTTGATAAGAAAGAGCTTCAGATAAAAAGTGAAATTTTATTGGAAACTTATCAATATTAAATCATGCCTCTGATTCCGTGAATTTTTTTGCTTTTCCCGAGAGTGTTATTAAATTTAGCTATTTTAAATCAAGCTTTTTTTTTTGAGAATAAAATTCTATCAAATAAGAATTCCTGTTAGGATGAAAGTATTTCAGTAATGATGACTTTGCTTCACGAACGTTCACTAATGGAAAATGATATTAAACGTTGGAAAAAATTCCGTATTTTTATGATGAAAAAATATTAATAAAGAGCCATGACATATCAAGATTAGTAGTTATTTTTATTCTCCAATGGATCGTTTTTCTGTGTAATGAATTCAAGGGATTTATATAATGTATCTTTAAATGTTCAATAAAATAATAGATTTTAACATTCTCTTGGAGAAACTCATTTACATTCATTATTTAAATAATATTGATAGTCAAGTACTTTATCTCATTTGCTAATTAAGTAACAGGCTAAAATTTCAATTCAATTAGTTATAAATTGGCTGAACTACTTCAGCCAAAAAAAATTTTAATTGAAAAGAGCACATTAAAGAAAAAGTTGTGAAAAAAGGAAGAATGTCATGTCATGTGAAAAAAAAAAATTAAATTGAGTTTAATGAAATTTTTTAGGCTAAAATTAACATACCATGCACCGTAGGCATGAGTTAATAATGAAGTTCTTTGTTATGTTTAATAATGAAATAGTTATTAAAGTTAACAGCAAGTTGTGAATTAATTAAACTAGGACTTGTATGGAGATAGCGGCAATAACTGGAGAAGTATAATATTTTCATTGCTGGTTATTGGGTTCGTAATTGCTGGGATTGTGACTGCTATTTATCTTCTTGGGTAAGGAAGCTAATTAATGGCTATTAATTATTGGGACATTAATAATTCCATTTATTGAATAATGTAGATATGTCGATGAGCTTTTGTATTGGAGTGGTAGACGTCTTACATTGGAAGAGTGCCTTCGAGAGGACCTCTCACCTCATCGGTTGCCACCCGCTTGGGTAACTCATGACAAATTTGTTTATCAAGCTGACGATGGTTCATTAGCACTTCTTGACACATCAAATAACTCTGTTTCATTACTTGTATCTAATCATACACTTGTAAGCAATTTTTCTTCATTCATTTTTTAATGAAACAATTACTTATTTTAGAGAAGAAAATGAAAATAAATTAACCACTGGGATGCTTTATTACAGAGACAATTGAATGTGCAAGGCTATCAATGTAGTTATAATCTACGTTATGTGCTTTTTAAGCACGATGTTAAACCAGTAAGTAGATTTATTCATTGTAGAACAATTGATGAGTAATTTTTACTTTTCGTTGAATTCGAACAATTTAATTGAAAAAAAGTGTGAATCGTATTCAACAATATACAAGGCTTTCAAATAAATTTCACGAATGGTTAATTACGATGAATTGAACGAAAAAAATTGCAAATCATTGATAGAATTAATTGTATTATTTTATGAGGGGAATCAATATACTACACAGTTGGGGAAATTTTTGGGACAAATTTTTATACCTCATTTATGATGAATGAGTCTGTAAATGATTTTTTTTTTTTTTCATATTAAACTCATTAAAGTTAAATAACATTCCTTTCTAAGGGATAATATTTACTCGAGTTTGATAATACCAAATTTCTGCTTATTCATTTTTTCACGTTGCTGAAATAATTTTGAATGACAACTATTTAACCTAATAAAAAAAAATAGTCTGTGTACTTAGAAAACATTAAAAGTCTGTATATATGAAACAATAGCAATTGAAAGTTAGAAATAATTTTTATTATCTGACCCGAATATTTTGGACAATAAAAAAAGCTTTATCACGTTTGTAAAAACAATCAATTTTTTATGACAGGTATTTCGACACACTTTCACTGCTCTCTACACGGTTTATGACGTCACAAATGAGTAAGTACTTCTATTAATTGTTTATTAGATCCCCAAGAGATATATGAGATTAAAACAAATGATTTTTAAAGCCATCATACTCCTCTTCGTCTTCACGCCTCTTCACGAGTCCAGCCAACTCGTTTGCAATATACTGCATGGTTGGGCAACACTACTTCACTATTGATGATATCCGATAACAATATATTCTTAAGAATGTCGCCATCGGCGCCAGAAGACAAGAGACTGACTGACACTGGAGTGCCTGGAATTATTTACAATGGAGTCCCTGATTGGTTGTATCAAGAAGAAGTACTTCCGAAACCTGAGGCTTTGTGGCCAAGCCCCGACGGCAAACAACTACTTTATGCGAGCTTTAATGACACGAAAGTAGGTTTAACACCCTTATAAACTTGTTTGTTAGTTTACTTAAACTGTCGTTCGTTTCTTATTATGCTTGCAGGTCACGTCTTTTGAATTTCCTTGGTTTGGTAATCCATTGGGTCAGGATGGCCCAAGCTCAAGTCCAGTAGGTGTTTCTAGGAAAGCATCATTTCCACCACTCAAATCCGTGAGATATCCTATTCCCGGATCACCGAATCCTGAAGTAGAATTGTGGGTGATAGATTTCACCAACATTAGTGATGCTACTAACGAATCTTTGGGTATAAACTTTGAGAGAGTTCAAGTCAGACCACCGCTTATACTTGATGGCCAGTAAGTCAACTGAAATTTAATACAATATACTCAGTTATTAGTAGCTTTTCTATATTAATCTGTCTAGATGCTAACAATAAATCAATTTATCTTTATCTATTTCTGATTTAATAGGTATTAATTAGTGTAGTTGAAAATTTTATTTCTCGATGTAGACTTATAAAAATAGCGATGAATAGAGAATGTTTTGATTTCATTAAATAAATTCAATAAGAAAGTATCAGTTACTAAATAAAGTTACAATCAATAATCCATTGTTGTTCGACTTTTTTTTCAGGGATTATTACTTAATCTCAGCTGGGTGGGTGGGTGAAAGCTCGGATCAAATTAGTGTAGTATGGATGACAAGATCACAAAATTTATCGGTAGTTTCCGCTTGTCGTGCACCCAAATGGGAATGCGAGGAAACTCATTCAGAACGTGCTCCTGAAGGACAGTGGTTGGATGCACAGCCACATCCAGTGTTTGCACCAGATGGTGATAGTTTTCTTTTGCTGGCTGCTGTGCAGGAAGGTGGACAGGAACATTTCACTCATATCAAGCATGTTACTCTCACACAACAAAGGATTGCCGTGTTGTCACATGGCCGATATGAAGTCATAGAGATACTCGCCTGGGACTCAAGAGCACATTTAGTTTATTACCTTGGTACCAGAGAGCGAAAACCAGGACAGAAACATTTGTATGTGGTTAGAGATCCTACGACAGATGATCCTCGACGACTGGAACCGTTATGTATCACTTGTGATTTGGGTGATGTACTTTGGAGTAGTCGGTAAGTGGTATTAAAAACTTGAGTTATGAACTATAACTTAAAAAACAATTGTGCTTTTGAATAATTGACCAGACGGTGCTCCGGGTGATTAGAAGTTTTATTTGAAAAAGTGAATTGTCAATATTTTTTTAACCCAGTTATATCAGTAGCAAGTTCCGTATGAATCTTTACTAGAAATTACATCAATTGAAACACAAAAAAGCACGATAACTTTCGAATGATATCAATTTCCAGGCATGTTCTAGCTTAAATAATAGTATATTAGCATTTTTATTGGAGTCAAAATGATGAACTTAGTATGGTCAGTCGTGAAGAATTGATAAAACTCGAAGTCGTTAGCCAAGAAAACTATTTATCTATTTTTATATATTGTACTCAATTTTATAAAATTGAATTTCTATAGAGATGATTTAGAAAAGAAATGCATAATAAAGGATTGGAATCAATAAACGGAAATGAAAAAGTATTCATACAAATCTCTGTATTAACATATTGAATACTTTATTTTTTTCAATATAATTTTACAATTTTTTTATTATGTCCAATCAAGAATTATTTAATGTTACATTTTGAATAAATTTTCTTGAAAGCATTTATAAAATTAAATTTATAATCTGTTCAAAGGTAAATTATGGTTAAAATCATGTTGTTTTGATTATCAATATTTCATCTTTATTAATTGGCTTGCATTATTAGCTCATAAAGATTAAAATAACAATAAAATTAATCTATTATTAAACGTAAACAATAGGTATTAATTTACGATCGTTCGATAAAAATAACAATATTGCTAATCTTTTAATTTGCTATAAAAATAACATTTGCATATGTTACAATCATAAATTGTTGTGTAAAACTGTTGATGGGCTAAATTTAATTCATAAATAAGCGTACTAAACTAAAAGAAGTATTCGAAAATAGAGAAGTTTTCAACATGGCTCAAGTGTTTTATTCACAAGTTATAAATTTGTTTATATGCATTCGAAATTTTGGCAATGTTATCCACAACTGCCCAAAGATAATAAATCTCGAGTTTCGAAAGAAAAAAATCCCAAAGATTAAAAGAATTACTGTCAGATCTACAACAATAAATTCTCAGTTTCAAATTTATATTGTTACATTCAAAGTTACACATGATTTCGTATAGAAAACATTTTTCATATTTAATCATTTTCTATCTATATTATTTTGATCATATTTTATCTTATAGATAGATAGATAGAAAATGTTGGAGTAATCTGAACCGAAAGTCAAAAATTGTTCGGAGTTAGGTCAGTTTATCTCCAATCTCGACATGCCTTTTAAGTTTAATAATGGTTGAGAAAAGCAAGGCCTATAAATTTGTTCTATATTTAAAAACATTATATATGGTTTAGATAACTGATTGTCGGTTGTAAATTATAGTTTTGTGACACTAGAAATGATTTTGTGAAAAAGCAGAATCAAAAAAGCATTGGAATGATTTAATAGCTAGAATTTTTTAATTCTTATAGTTTTTCGTGCTATACCGACAGTATTTCATTCCAGTTTCAACACGATACAGAGGGGAAATTCACAATTTCCGAGTAAATCTGACAACATGTATTTATTACGAAATTCACGAGTATTTGTGTTTTTTATTTAATGTAGACAAACTCAATAAAATAAACGTTTATATGGTGGATAATTTACTTTATGATTGTAACGATCTTTATTGAATGTGTTTAATTAATTGCTCAGTAATGAAATTATGTGTTCTACTCGGCAGGTTTTATTACACCAATTGTACTCACTTTGGAGCTTCGGTTAGTGTTTCTACTGAGACTAGGCAAGGTTATTACATACTCTATTGTGAAGGGCCCGGGTTGCCACTTGCTGGAGTTCACTCAGTCACAACTCATAAGATGGTTCGAGTTCTCTACGACACTAGAATCCAACATGCTGACAGATTAGCTCAATTAGCTCTACCAACTCGGAAAAGTTTTGAGGTAAAATCGATTCCCAATAAAAAAGAAAAAAATGATAACAAGTAATAGGGGAAGAAACGACAAGCCACAAAAGGAAAAAGAGGGAAAGAAGGGAAAACGATTAGGGGAAGACTGAATGAACTTTTGTTTTGTAGGTACCTTTACCGCAAGGGTGGAGAGCACAAGTCCAACTTCAACTGCCGCCATCCTGGCGTGAAGAATTGCGAGATGCAGCATTTCCAGTTCTCGTTGAAGTAAACGGTCGACCTGGTAGCGGAGCAGTCACCGATAAATTTCAAATTGATTGGGGAACATACATGTCCAGTCACAATGACGTAGTATATGTGAGGCTGGATGTGCGTGGAGCAAGAGGACAAGGGAAGCGTGCACTTTTTCATAGGATTGGTGGAGTAGAAGTGCAGGATCAATTGACCGTGCTGCAGTACCTATTGGATACTCTGAAGTATCTAGATGAATCGAGGGTTGGTGTTTGGGGATGGGGATATGGCGGATACGTCACTGCCATGGTATTAGGCAGCCAACAGAATGTTTTCAAATGCGGCATTGCAGTCAACCCCATCGCAGACTGGTTGTACTACAGTGAGTCGATAATATTAATCTTTTTTAATCCTAAAAGCTGTGTCTTTTCGACTGGAATAATAGACTCAATCAATTGAATAGATTCAGCATTCACGGAACGAGTATTGGGAGCACCAATCGAGAATTACAAGGGATATGTTGAGGCAGATTTAACTCAACGCGCAAGATTAGTCCCAAGTCATAGCCTCTACCTTGTTCATGGTCTAGCTGACCTTACAGCGCCTTATACACACGGTATAGCCTTCGCTAAAGCTCTGTCCGAAGCTGGAGTTATCTTTAGGTATCAGGTAAGAAATATTTCATTTTTTAAATTATCAACTCGAGACTAAGCTGTAAAAAAACCAATAACGAAGTACTGTTTGACGTCACTCTACAAAATATTCCATAGATTAATAATTTGATTTAAATTTATTCGCTGCTGAAGCTCTTCTTGGATATCTAGTTCTGAGTTTCATTTTTAAATTGCAATATTATTTATCATTTCTTCAAACCGATGCTCACTAAGACAAATTGAAAGTATTATTCAGTAATTATTAGCTGTCGTTTTGTGAATTTTTCTTTCGTTCTGTTCAAGTGATTTATTTCTTTCCTTCTGTATTATTTATTGATGAACTTACTGACTATAAATCACTTGGCTGAATGATCAAACTTTTGCACATATTTGTAGTAATATATTGATATAAGCTTTTCCCTGAATAAGTTTTCTTCTTAGAATAATATGTAAGCATTTTTATAATCCATTATTAATAAAATTTTATCATCACCGTCATCAACTAATTCTTGTTCTACTCAATAAAACTTTCCCTATTAATATTTGCTACAAGTTTTATCCCCTTTGAATTTTTTTGATGACGTATTATTCGAATCATTATCTCCAAATTGTTTTGATAATTATATCCTAGTCGTTTAAATATTAAAAGTGAACTTATTAAATAATTCAAGCAAAAAATTTAAGTTTGTCATACTTTATGTAAAAAATTCAAGCAAAAAATTGTCTGCATTGGATTTTTTTTTGCTTATCAACCATTTCTTTAATATCTTCGTGACTATTTTTCTCAATAACTTGGAAAACTAAGCATAATTTATACAGCTTTTGTAGAAATGAATTTGTTTGTCACACACTTTTACTTCTGAAGATTTTAATTTGATCCAACTGGTACATTTCTCTTCTTTGATTAATTTATTTCAATTCTATCTCAGCGTCATTAATAATATCTTTTTTATATTCCATATAAATCTGTTGCATTGATATTAAATCACTGAACTAAGTTCGTTAGTATAAGTGGATTATTTCATAGAAATTAATCAATGTTATCAATCAGTCGTTTACACTCGTTAATAACTCACCTGAAATGTGCAATATTTTATGGATTCCAAACAAGTTTATTAAATTCCAATGATAATTTGTTGCATCAAATAATATTTTGCCAAGTTAAATGATGTGTTTGTTTGGCACGAATACATCTCATCTATATTGAAAAAACTTTCTTGAAAAAGTTACTAAACAGTTGGAGGTAACGTGACTCTATCTTTACTATTATATATGAAGAAAAATTACCATAATACTTTGATCATCTATACCTGATGTTACAAGCTTCATAAAATATTATATAGTCAATTTTTGATCAGTCTCATACTTTAATAGAGCTTTTGTATATATAAAATCAATCTTAAGAATTACAAGAAAAATTATTAATATCATTATTTTAATTATAAAATTTTTCTAATTAACAAAAACTATTAATTACAATGAATAAAGTTTTCAACTCTACCAAGAAAATTAGTGATGAAAACAATGTTTTTCAGAGTTACTTCTATTAAGAGAGATAAATAATAATAACAATAATATTAAACAATTTTCTGCTCCAAGAATTCAGTGAATTTTTTCAATGTAAAAGTATTTTTAAGCTTATAAAATAAATCTGGACTATTTTTTTAAAATTCACAAATTTTATTCAACCTACATAATTTGGATATTTGAATATGTATGATGAGTCAATAATTAATATTAATTCATGGTTTTAAGTCAAACAAATATTATTGCAGAGCTATGCGGATGAGGATCATGCTCTAGCGGGTGTGATCGAGCACGCTTATCGTTCCATGGAGGACTTCTTCGCTGAGTGTCTCTCCTTGGATGCCTCCTAGTGCCTCAAGACGATTTCTTGCTCGTCATTAATACTGCGTCTTCTGCTTATAACCGAAATAAGTCGGTCGTAATTTATCGTGTATGTATCGAAGCGTGAAATAACATGAGAGTAGAGAGTGAGTGAATGAGTGAAAATATTCAAAAATGTGAATGTTATATTGATGAAAATCAATTCTCATTGTTATTTGAGAATTTACATTACCTAAACATTTCAGATGATTGTATTAATACGTTATCGGGATTCCCTAGGATGTATAGATTGCTCAAATGACTGATTTAATTATACGTGCAAAAGTGAAAGAGTAGACAATTTAAAATAATTAAAAACAAAAAGGCAGATTAATAAATAAATCTTATTGAGCACTGCGATGATAATTAATTAAGTTTTACACGATAAGATGAAAAAAGTAAAAATTGAAATAAAAAAGATATTAAATAAAAATAATTCATAAAAAAAAGTTAATGAAAAAATATCGCGTTTGTATTAGCAATATCTTTATATAATAATGCAATGTATTATTAATTATAAGTCTGCAAAAAGTTAGTATTATTATTAATACAAATGTTAAGAGTTTGGCTAATAATTATTCGTTAAGATTCAGAACTGTAAGAGAAGATTGTAGAAATAATTCCTGTTTAATTTCAATTTATATTTATATGTTTTTATTATTATGGGGAAACGTAATTTTTTATCAGTCATTTTCTCATGTTCTTACAAAAATATTGAAAAGAGCTAAAAAAAATTATTATTAAATAGATTATTATTTTTTTTTAAATTATTTATTGGTTGAAAGTGATAGTTTGTAATAATAAAAAATGATAATAATTGATGGGAAAAGTAAATAAGTATCAGAAGAATGTCATAATATCAAATTTAATGGTATGGTAAATGTAATTCTAGTGACGATTGGATTATTAAGTAATGAGGAAAAAATATTAGACGCCTCGTTGATTAAAAAATTATTTCTTCCGGCAAAATCCCGTCCCCAATGTGTTATAACATGGTAACAATAAATGTTGTGTAGCCTGCGGCGCCTAATATTTATAGAGTTGATGAAAAAAGGAGGAGGAAAAAACTAGAGGAGGATATTTATGTACATAATGACTCCTCCAGTTATTGAGAATCTTTGTAAATAAATGAATTTTTCAATCGTCATTAACTTGGCAGAATGTTTAACTGATTACGTTAATGTCGAATAATGATTAAATAATTAATAATAGTGATAAATAATTAATGATTAATTTAATGATAAAAAATATGATGAACGAGCTTCGAGGCTGATTAATTAACAAAAATTTTGTAAAATATATTCCCAGCAGCTCGCGCAAATATTTATATGGCTGTTCTGGATAAGCCAATAATTATAACGGGTTGGCTATATAGAGGATATTTTTATAAATTCGGGATTCCTCGATTTTCTTATAAGAACATTGAAAACTTTCATGTTATAAATGCAATTATAATGGTTGATCTCTTTTTATAACTTAATCTAAAGGGCTATAATAATATTTTATTGTTGAATATTTTTAATTAGAGTTCTTAATTGAATTTATTGCAGTTGTTCTTATATTCATTAACCCTCAATATTTATTTTTTTAATGTCAAACGATGTACGTCTCTTATATGATCTTCTATTACATTTTTCTGCCATTTTTTTTTTTTATAATCAACTACTAATTACAAGTCTTTGAAGTAAATTTATTTCTAGTATATCTAGTAGAGTTAATATAAGTCAATTTGTATTTACATTTAATTATAGTATATTTTGATGACACCATTTTTTTATATTCATGACGTGTAAAAAAAGTATTTGAATATAAGTTATATATAGAAAATTAATTGTGTAATCAAAATGTATTATAATTTTAACGAATTAATTAACATAAAATTTGTGAGCTTAATCTAACCACAAGGTCTGTAGTAGTTGGTTTTTAATGAGAAACTCGTTTGAGACGTAGATCGATCATTGAGGGTTGATAATTATATAAAAATAAGGTCCGTGCTATTGTGAAATACTATAGGCCTAACTTATATTAACTCAAAGATTTAGTGAAATATTTTTAATCTGTTATGCCAATGATAATATAATCTCTTAAAGTGAAATATAATACGTACAGGGATAGAGCAGTGGTGATGTTATTACGAAGATGTTATTTACAAAATTATTATTAATAATTAATAATTAATATATGTATTTTTTCCATGCTCTACCCTTTGTAATACTCGATCTCACCTTTGCACCCGACAAATCACGTAGCTATAAAAAATCTAGTTACGCTTCAGTCAATTGTGATTAATAAAATGCATACCAGTAATGGTTATTATCATTATGTATGAGAGTATCATTTTATTTTTCAGTAACAATTGAATTATTATTTAAAAACAAATGAAGGGATCCTGCACGAGCTGCATAAAATGTTGTAAATAAATAAATTTGCCCCAATTGTTATTGAAAGTAAAACGGGGTGAAAAGAAAATCAAAAGTTGTGAGTCATGAATGAAATGATGATTACTATTTAATAATATTATTATTATTATTATTATATAAATGAATTAATAATTAACAATCAATATACAGTATAATATAATATTATCTATATTCATAAATATTATATATAAACAGACACACGGATAAGAAAAGCTGCCAATTAATTAGCAAAGTGCATCCTCCTGACGGAGCCCACATCTTATCATCATAATCTATCGAACATTCATGTCAAAGTCAGTGTAAAAATGCTTCCTGGATTAACAAACTACTCAAATTACTGAATAGTGTAAATTAAAACTTGAAGAGTCATCTTTTTTACTGGATCTACTTGATATAATGTTGACCTAATAACGTCTTTCTTCTTCCTTATGCTGATGATGATGATGATCCTGGTTGAAGGTTGATCATCCAAGTTTCAAGTAAATGGTAAGTCGTAATTCCACGCGATTGCTTTTATATCTTGCTATATCATTTAATCGTATATATTCCTCTTGCTATTGACTATCACTCTTTTCTCACAACTATTAAAACTAAGTGCTTCTTCATACCGGAGTCAATTGCATAGCTTTAAATGATCACGTGACACCATGTTACATTTCATTACTATACTCAGAGTATTCGCATGACAAATTACTCATATTAAATAAGGCAAAGATCTATTTAGATAGGAAATTAATATATTTATCAATATGAAATAATATCAGACTTTTTTTTCATTCAATATATTGCTTTGAAGAAATTAATTGTAAATATTGATTTCTTGAATAAATCTTTGAGAAAATATTTTACAGATGTTTATTCATAATCCTAAAGTTTGCAGGTTTGATAACAACACTTGGAAAACATTGCATTTTCATCTGAAATTTTTCAATGGTTATGGATAAATATTTATTTTGTTTGAATTGTTTGCTATTTAAATAAAACTGGTAAATATTTATACTAACTACTTTTTACTTTTCAAGTGAAATAGTAAATTAGATTGAAAATGTTTTTCTCAACTTTACAAGTGAAATTTTTTTACTGCTACAAGTTGTTTTTATTGCTACTGCTATAATATTTTTTTTTCATTTTAAAATTACAAACTTCAACATGTTAATATCGTGGTAACTAGTAAATTATGAAGTGAAATTATTTACATTAGAATAAATTAATAGAAAAATGAATTGAATTTATATTGATCACTACTAATCGCTGAACAAATTTAAAATATCATTCGTAACCATATTTATTTCCTTTAGAAAGGAAGGAATGTTACTATTCAATGTTGATTAAAAAACTTGCAGTAAAAATAGATTGCAAACTTTAGGTCCTCATTGATTTTAATTGTATTAGAAAAAATAGAATATAATGAAAGAATGCTTTCTATTTACATTTATAAATAATTTCTTTATTGTAAAATTATTTCTCGAACTGAACTAGATATTTACCACACACTCACTTTGTAATCCCCGTATAAAGAAATTTTATTTTCAAAAAATTCGCGGAATGTTCGCCAGTGAGATTATGGGGAACGTTTAGAGAACGAAATTTTTTTTTTTTTGAAAATTTTTATACAATGAAATTAATTAAATAATGATATATTGGCGAGAAACTGTAAGATATAAAAATGCCCATAACTTCTATGCTAATGATGCTATGGGGTTGATCGAGGACTCAAATGAAAGATCTTGACGAGAGGAAAAAATTCGATATGATTAAAATCATAATTGTTGCGAAATTTATGCTAAAAATAAAGAAAGTTCCCGTTTTACCCCATTTTAGGGGTGAAAAAATTAATTTTCTTTATGTTTGACCAGATTCCGCATTTCTACGCATCAAGACGAAGAGAATGAGTGGTCGAACTTGAAAATCGGACAACTTTGATTTTTCGACCCAAAAAAATGGCAAGTGGTACCCCTTTCCATTTTTTTTGGCCAAAAAATAAAGGTACTCCGATTTTGATGATTGAGGGCTCATTCTCTTCGTCTTGGTGCGTAGAAATGCGGAATCGGGGCACCGGTCAAGAAAATTCACTTTAACACCCTTAAAAACGGGTTACACTAAATACAAATTATGGATTATCATCCCCTTGACTTTAAACCCTTATAACTCGTGAACGGATAGTCCAATAACTGATTTCAGGGACGTTTTGAAAAGCTGAAAATCTAAGCTAAACATACATATCCGTAAAAAATGTTAAAAAAATTTCTTTCACCCTTAAAATTGCTAAAATGTAAAAAAAAATCACATTTTTTTAGGAAGTTGCAAACTATTTCGGCCATTTTAAGGGTGAAAGAAATTTTTAAATCGCTTTTTATGGATATGAATCTCTAGCTTAGATTCTGAAGTTTCTAAACAGCCCTTAAAAATCATCATTCGATGAATTGTATAAGAGTTATAGGGGTCCAAAGTCCAAGAGTAGGTGATTTTTTTATCTTTCTTGGACTTTGGACCCCTATAACTCTTATACAATTCATCGAATGATGATTTTTAAGGGCTGTTTAGAAACTTCAGAATCTAAGCTAGAGATTCATATCCATAAAAAGCGATTTAAAAATTTCTTTCACCCTTAAAATGGCCGAAATAGTTTGCAACTTCCTAAAAAAATGTGATTTTTTTTTACATTTTAGCAATTTTAAGGGTGAAAGAAATTTTTTTAACATTTTTTACGGATATGTATGTTTAGCTTAGATTTTCAGCTTTTCAAAACGTCCCTGAAATCAGTTATTGGACTATCCGTTCACGAGTTATAAGGGTTTAAAGTCAAGGGTGATGATAATCCATAATTTGTATTTAGTGTAACCCGTTTTTAAGGGTGTTAAAGTGAATTTTCTTGACCGGTGCCCCGATTCCGCATTTCTACGCACCAAGACGAAGAGAATGAGCCCTCAATCATCAAAATCGGAGTACCTTTATTTTTTGGCCAAAAAAAATGGAAAGGGGTACCACTTGCCATTTTTTTGGGTCGAAAAATCAAAGTTGTCCGATTTTCAAGTTCGACCACTCATTCTCTTCGTCTTGATGCGTAGAAATGCGGAATCTGGTCAAACATAAAGAAAA